AATAGCAGACTACGTGCTAAACTAAAGCAAAGGCAAAAATTACAATTCGCTTGTAAAAACATGACAGTTATAGTACAATACTGAAGGAAAGTAAATCGAGGTATATTGACCTTATGTTCACTTCTGAAAATAAGGGGACTGACAACTTACACGTACTCTTGTGTTACTCACCTCAAAGCCGAGTGCCTTAGCCAATGGGATACATCTACACAGTATTCTCTGTAGTAAACTGATAAAAGCGTAAAGCATAGTGTTAATTCATTGATAAGACTGTCAGTTGAATCTAATGAATACTGAAGAGTTGAAGATTTTCAGACCGAATAGGTTCACTTTTTGAGATACAAATAGTAAGGGAAATCTGTAGTCAAGGTGAATCTAATATTCTTTATTATAACATCCAAAATATTTGAACGGCACAGAAGTGTCAGGAATTATTTATATACGAGCAGCCTATATATTAAAGTAAATCATCGTACACCGCTTAGAGGAAAATTACTTTGTGGGAAACTACCAACTTTCATCAATGCATAGAACATAAGTTCCATCACAATTATTAGACTCCATAACATTATCACATGGAAATTAATCAGAATAAAAGTGTTGAAGTGCACTTACCGTTTTTCAAATACTCATACTGCTGAACTCCACAAGTGAGTGAGAACAAATCAGTCAAGACTTAGTACACTTTCAGGTAAAATTGAATAGCTATAAGGGAAACCGTGCGTCGGTGGCACAGCGGTATGGTACTCACAGGTGGTTGGAAGTTCGGTCCCCGGCCGATGCACACCTTTACCTCGCTAACCAGTAGCAAGACTGCTAAAGAGGGAAGGCTGGACATGAGGTTAGCAACCCCATCCTGTAAAAATAATTACCACTGCTACAGAAACTTCACGTCTCTAGCTTGAAGCCCTATGTTCCACTGGGAACGTAAAGGAATAAGAAAGAAGGATAAGGGAGACCACCGTTAAAAAAAGGTTTACAGATAGCACAAAGTAATTGAAACAGACAGGCAAGAAAATCAGCCAAAAACTACATGTTTTTCCTCTTTTCTGTCTTGACATTTGAAAACGTTTGTTACGAAAGTAAAAAAAATAATAAAATTTGACATTTTAGAATAACAAATAAGTGCATAAATACTAGACAAATACAGAATGCTGAAGTGTCGCAGAATGAAGAGTTTGTGTCTAGTAATGAATGCTGATGATGGTGATTGTGATTGCAAATGTTTTTGTTCTGCTTAAACCTGACTAGACAGTGTATGACACTTTGCTTTGGAAATAGCATTGTCTAATGAGGTTGGTTATACACAAAAACTTGGATATGAATAACAACCTAACGAATACACGACTAGAATATCTTTGGAGTTAAACGAAGTTACACAGAAATCGTTGGTTGTCATACTGAGAATATAGTAATGCAAAACTTAGTAGCTGTAATTTTAAAACAAGTAGTTGCAGTACTTGAAGTAGTGGTCATAGTGAAGCATTAATGAAAATATGCCCAGCGTGTAAACAGTAAATTTGTAAATATCAATGTAATCACCTGTTTGAACAACATTTAATAATAATGTACACTGTTATGAAGTGCGTCGGTGGCATAGCGGTTAGCATGCTCGCCGGCCACGCACATGGTCCGGGGTTCGATCCCCTGCCACCGACGTACTCCTTTACCTCACTTAGCCAGTAATAAGACTGGTAAAGAGGAAAAGTTGGGTATGAGGCTAGCAACCCCATTCTGTAAAAATAAACACTGCTACAGAAACTTTAAGCCGCCAGCTTGAAGCCCTATGTTCCACTGGGGAACGCTAAGAAAAGAAAAAAACACTGTTATGATATGTTTCTCTATCACAATACTCCACAGTCAAAAAAAGCAGGAATATAACACTAATTACTCTGAATTTTAAAATCACCTGAATGGTGAGTGTCTAAAGTTTACCGAGATAAAATCACTTCACACCTAATTCATTGTACACTGGCATGTGTCTGGAATACAGTGAAAACAAACAGCTGTTCTAAACTAACTTAGGAATCTAACTGGTAGATGGTGACTAACAGTGGAATCCAGGATAAAGCGCATTTCGTCCTATTTAAGACTCGTCATCTGGATGTACCTGCATTTCTCAGTGAGTGATGATGTTCCCGCCGAGGCTCGAACCCAGTTTCAAACGCCTAAATGCGCATCCTGGATTCCACTGCTAGTCACCATCCACCAATTAAATACTGAATGCCCAGTATCGAAGCATCTGCACAAGAAGCCTACATGTCAACCTGAGAGTGAGCACTTCGGTCCAATCAGTCGACGGGAAAATCAAAAATTCAATTAACTTAGGAATCTTCAACGACTTCTGGCTAGAACTTCCCTAAAGTTATCCTACCATACCACGAACAGCACATACGAACACTAATCTCTAGCTTTGAAGTGGATTTCCAAAAGTTCTTATAAATATTCATAAAGAGTGAGGTGTAGCCAGTAGGGTGTGAAAATAATTATTCACCGATGGTGTTGAAAAATGACCACAAAGAGCCACTAATAGACGTAAGTTGTCAAAACACAACATGTGATTGCATTTTAATATCAGCTTGCTAGTTAAGAAGCCTAGTGTTTCTAAAGTGTGTCTTCAATTGGTCAATATACATACATTAATCAGTAGTATCCAAGTACGGAGGAAATATTGTCAGTAACTCCCTGGTTCCTTTCAATTTTATACTTGAAATCAGTTTGTAAAGAAAACTGTCTCCAGGACAGTCAGATCGACATACACACTTAAGCTGCATAACAAGCTCACCTAATTCCCCAACAAATTAATACGTGGTGTATCAAATAATTCCTCTTCTTGGTTTATTTGTCATTAATTTGTGAAAATCTCTGAGTATATTTGCAACATATACTGCGTTTCAAGTAGTTGTTTACTCCTAGTTATGAGACATAAACTTGTTCAAGGTTACTTTTTTATTTCTAATAATATCCTCATTACATTTTAGTCTGTATGAGTTATTTTCCCAACACCTTGTAGAAAACAACAAACACTTGTCAGCATAGTTTTCGGAATAAATATTTTATAAGTCCCAGCAATTTTTCCTAGTAAAATTGCTGAGTAACGAAAGTATACAAAACTTAGATATTAAATTATGTTTATCCAATATGCATATCTAATGACAATAATAATGGCTTGCATAATAGATGAAAATCGATGTTACTGTTTATAGAACCAATGTCCGAAGTGACAGATTTCAAGAATAATCATATAATGCGGTTACACATAGACTGGCTGTTTATGCAACAGAAAAAGACATTTTTTTTACCTCTCTGGTATTATTTCGATAACTAGTCATATTCATATTATGTATCTGTAAACTCCAAATAGTCTGACTTGATAAAAATGCTTCATATTAGCTCTGAAATTAGCTTAAACGCCTATTATCTACTTATGAAAATTGTTAGAAGACGAATATCAGGAAGATAGCACCAGTGGCAGATGGAGTTGATGTTCATAAAGAAGAAATACGGAAAATCAAAATTACATAGAAGAAAAGGTTGTTTGCCTCATACCACTTATGTTAGTGGTTTTCAGTTTTTTATAACTTATAAGGTGAATTATCTCTTATTTCCAAATATACTTATCAGTCTGACAGTGACATGATTAAGACTCGATGTATATGGAATCTGGTGTAAGTTCTGCACCCCCTCCACCAATTTGTTGACATCTTTATCTAACAATTCATTTTATCACCCATGTTTCACCACAGTTCATTCATTTCTTCTGTTTTCATTGTATTTATAACTCTCTGTACCACACATGATAGTACAACTAGTTATATGCAGTCGTTAGTCAAGGAGTTATACTAAACTTTTGTGAGTTCATCATTTCCAGTGTATTGATCCAAGTGAGTAACTATGCAAACCACTTGATAATAAACAGGTCGAAGACAAAATGGATTACATGGAGGATTACATCATGAACTGACATCAGTTAGAGAACCACTGGAAAACCTGGGAGCATTGGACAGTTGTTTCCTCCTAGTTTGGGACTCTTCAGCAGTACGCACCCACCGGGGTTCGAACCCGGGACCTTCTGGTGATAAGGCGACCTCGTAGGCCATTGAGCCACTGGGACCCGATATCCAGTGGTTCTCTAATTAATGTTAGCTTATGATGAAATCCTCCATGCAATCAAACAAAATCCCTACAAAACTAATACTTCAATACTATTGCTATAGTCGAAATGGGACACGTCTCAAACTAGTCTTGAAATATTTTCACACTCAGAGTGTCTGTTTTTTCCACTTCATTAGTGTTTTCTCAAAAACATGCTATTAAAAAATGACACTGTGACAGGAAAAAATATTTACGATAATCAGAACTTATCATATTTTTATTGATTAGTGCGTTGAATCTCATGCATTTATTTTTAGCTTGTAGGATTATTAATCCTCTATCATTGAGAACATTGCTGTACGTACGAACACTTAAGGATAAAATTATGTTCTGTGCATGAAACTATTCGATTTCACTTTTAAATGAAAGTAGTTTGATCATTATTGAAAATAATTAATATTACTTTTAATGATAAGTGGTAATAGCTTTTATACAGCAAAAAAACCCATTTTAAGTGCATAAATTGTGTAACACAATGAATTGAGCAAAGCGCCAAAATGCAATACAAACACACACACACACACCTACGATAACTATCACAGGAAACATTCTTTTGTAAATTTTGAATTTATTCTACTGTAATTTGATTAACTAAACTAAAATGAAGCTAACAGAAATAAAAAATGTTTGTTTAGCTCCATAGTGATCATGGAGTAATGCTCATGATATATGTAAATAAATTTTTTGAATATTATCTTTTAACCGAGTCAGTTGCACATGGTCACGCGCTTCAACTCAGGTAGAGGATCCTTTAAATAAGTTTTATCATTACACACCTGTCACCTGTTTTTTTATATGGATAAACAGACAGAAGTAATTCTTTTTTCTACTTTTAATTATCCTAGATACTTTTGTGAAATATGCTTGGATCGTATACTTTATGCACGCACCACAAGTAAACTCTCAGATGGTACAGTATTCTGGGGTGAACAGTTTGATTTAAAGTAAGTTCTATTTCTCTTCCTATCCGAATCATAATTTTGGCAATAACGCCAATTGAAAACACTTTCGTGATTTACTTTTTTTCCTCATGATAGAATACTTCTTGAATGTAAAACTTTCATTTTGTCTAAAACTCATAAGACCAAAATAGGGTATTGATTTCGCTAAGCTTGTACTTACATATTGTAGATTTGTGTTACATGAACTGAAAGATAGGCTAATGAATGTCTTTTAGTTCCTCTATCTACGTCCTACGACAATTTTATAAATAGGTTACTTATCTGATAGTCAGATGTATTCCGGCCTTAATTGGGTTACGGTGAGAATTAAATGTTATCCTGAAATTTAGCAGTCTAACGTCTAGCGACCTCAGCCCACGTGTAACGAACAATTAGATTACAGACAAGAAAAATTATCATAATTGTATTGAAACTTCTACACTTTTTGTTTAAATTAAGTGGTTTTATTTTACAATTACAGTAATCTACCTCCAATATCTATTATGACGATCAATTTGTTCAGACAAGGAAGTTCTTTCAAGGACAAACGACAGAGAAGTAAAAGCCAAAATCAATTTATCGGTACGTTTCACTCAAACTAATCATTTTCTTAAAATCTTCGGTAAAAAAGGTACTCACGGCAGTATTCATTCATAGTGGTATATTCATACTCTTCATTGTTAGAAATACTTTTTTTCAATAACTACCAATTGAAACATAAATGATACTGATTCGCATTTCATTTATTTGTCTGGTAAATCTACAACTTTGCTGCTGCTATATGGCGAAAGCTATTCAATGTTTTTTCATGAAGTATTCCGAAAATAACTTCGGATTAATGTCTGTGATGAGTATACAAATCCATAGGTGCATATTCGTTACTGTAAGACGATTTATATCAAACACCTCTCACTATTTACAATTCTGGATCCATTAATTGCAAAGACTACACTCTCGTGAGTGAAATTCACTCTTCACATTAGAGTTGTAATGAGAATAGTTTTCAAAACATTCAGTAACAGGCTGAATAACCAAGACTTTTTTAAAGAAAATGATTCCCTATTACACACGTCTACATGATAAAGCATCCGGTGATAAAGTTTAAATTACGATGAATGACAGTAGGGAATTCTATCATAAGGGTTATGTTCACCTGAAGAAAAGAGATTTGAACCAGTGCTAATGCATTACCACCTTTTAAGGGAGTTGTATTGTTCTTCATTTAGTCTGAAAACAAAAGTGATTTTTCAGCTGCGCTGATAATATTGAATAACTAATGCGGGTAATACCAGCAAAGCAAAAAGGAAAAGAAGTTCCTCCAGTTGTTCTGAATAAAACTCAAATATACTAGTTTTGATTTTTCTTTAATTTAAAGCTTGATTCCACACTGTATTTTTGGTACAAGTATGGAATTTTCAGCATGGATATCGGTAGCGGAAAGTTTGCAGGTCGACCATAGATATCAGGTGTGTGTCGGCAGGGGATCGAACCTCGGACCATGTGCATGGTCGGCGAGAGTCCTAACCACTGTGCCACCAGACACTGTGTAATTAAAAACCAAGGCGAAATTTCTCCTAAATTACTTGATTTTTAAAAGACTTGACAGATAATAATAATATTATCTTATCTATACTGATTAAATATTACCAGAAGAAAACAAACGGTATTGAACAAAGAATATTCTTTTCAGTATCTGCTTTTAAAGCCCTACAGTTATATATGTATCCGTTTAAAGTAAATAAGAAGTTTGTATATGTCAACTAAAAACGCTTTCTTTTTTATAGCAACGAATCGTTAAGACAGGGACTAGAAATGCTTAAATCCAAATGTTCATTGAATCCATTTCAATGCGAATAAGTGTATGACCACATATTTGGTATGGTATTCTGCCATCAAAATGAATCATTTTAGAGATTTTATTCGCGGTAAGTGAGTGTACTATAAGCGACTTTCAGGTTATTATAGAAAAAGCAGAGACCATAATGAAATTTCTAAGGAACCGTATCGAATCAAGTCATTATAATTCATTGACTCGCTGTCGAGTTCATTCCAACACAAACAGATTGAAAAAGTATCCAATAAATTAAATTGACTCATTCACAACGTGTAGATGGTAAACACAAAAGAATGTGTTCCGACGACAATATGCAATGAACCAGGCACCAGATAATCTTAAATATCCACTCATCGAAAATATTTTGCAAGTTACCAGGAAACAAGCACAGAAAATGCTTGTTGAGCTTATTAGAGGACTTAAAAAAAGCAAACAGTCGATAGCTGATCTCCGAAATACCCTAGAATTTAAGTGCATAAATATCCTACCATTAATTTAGACATAAAACAATTTGAAGTGTTATCTCTAGGCCTTCAAATTTATGTGTGGACGTAGCTATGTACATCATACATATATATACACACACACACATTTCCACCTTGAAAATTTCATAAATTGAAAGAAACGATTTAAACGATAAAATTGAGCATAAACTTATTGTATCTTTGAAAAAACTGAAGGAAAAAAAGTTGATTTCACCAACTCCGTGTGAAACAGTTAAACTGACAGGTACTGGTTCATGCTAATGAAAATCTTTCTCAACAAAGTTAATTCCCAATACTATAACCTGGTGAAATGACTGATGACTACTCTGACACCATTATACAAACAAGTAGTGTAACAGAAAGTAAAAGGTGTGTTTTAACTCAAGGGTAAGATCAAAAATGTCAATATTAAGAACGAAATGATGATATCCTTGGATGTAACGTCTACCTTCCTGAGCTCTCTATTGATAGAGACTTTCAACTACATGTACAAAGAGTTGAAGGAATAATCTATGAACATTGGAATTCCATTAAATAAGCCTAAAGAATTATTGCTTAAGAATAAGATGAAGTTATTTTCAAACTTAGCGGAGAATTAAATTTGAAATCCCTCTTGAGTTCCATTTTAGCAGACACATTCTCAACACAACTTGATAATTCATTCTACCATTCATAAAGTTTACAGCTAAATAACACCTTCAACCTTAGTGAGAAAATAGACGTGGATCAGACACCTAATCGATTCTTAAACTACAGTCAGTTATATAGTTTACATGTGGTGAACAGTCGAAAAGGGAAACAGACGTTTCGGATGACCTTCCAGGAAAAATAGATTGGTCACAAAAGAGAAATTCATGTAACAAAAGTATGTCGGCTAAACAGCATACACACTTCCTTAGTTCCCTTCCCTCAAAATAAAAGTGATACCTGATAAATACTCTGAGCAACAGAATAAACGTTAATGTTGTGATGGCAAAATAGAAGAATTCATGCAGTCACAAAACATCCTACTTCAAACTGATTATTCGGGTAAATTTGTAAGGAAACACATCAAAGTCAAGACAGCAAGCAAGGTTAACCAGCTGCTCATGAAATACCACTATACATTCGATTCGAGTGCATCTAATAAGTAATGTACCGAGTGAGATAATGGTGACTCACAAACCACCCGAATCTGGCTAAACAAGTTTAATTGTAGGAAAACTACAAATTACGTTTTCCACATATTCAATCATAGAGCCAATACCGAATTAAACTGACTAGTCACTTCCTGTTGATATATTAACCAACTCGGGTGCTCCTGTGCCACTTCCTCTAGAAATTTAGTTATCTGGGCTCGTGAACATCTTCCAGTGAGATTAAACAAGTGTATTGAGGGCTCAAAACAACTAAGTACTGGCACATCAAACCCACAGCTTTCACCGGGATTTACCGTCTTCCTACCAACTTAATGAAAGTGGTTAGACTTTGAATTCTTCAAACAGTGGAATAGATAACGAATGAAATAAAAAACAAGCCCAAATTACGCTTATAACAGAAACATGTACAATATCTACCATCAAGAAAAGTCGAGAAATCCTGATGAACATGAAGCCATTTAATTTTGATCTTCAACAGCTTACGTACATAACTTCAAAGTCCATACCGTCTAAAATGATTTTAATTTAAATTTAATTTGTACCCGCGTGAATTGCGACTAACTTAGAACCACATTCTCCCTTATTATCTGTGTTCATAGAATATCGTTTACACATACCTATAAATCTGCTTCCTATTTTTCTAATCCAATCCTATTTCAGCTTTATAATGGTTCACATGACTCTCACAGTTTGAATGATTAGAATACGCCTTGTAACCCTATTAACAACTATTGATTTCAATTAATTTCAAAACCCTATAAGGCACACTCGTCTACTGCAAATAAAAACCATCAAATAATTTATTTGTTCAGTAGAATATCACACCAAATATATTAATGATCATATGTATGTTTCCGTTGAGCTGAACTCGAAAACCATTTGAATTTAAACATTTTTAACCTTCGAACGAATTGTTTGGCCTAATGCTTCTTTTCTCGGGGGATTCTTATTTAGTTAACATACGCAAACCTTATATTTTAATATAACTGCCTTCTTCGGTCTGAAATTGCAGCTAGAATATTGAGACCGTTTGAAATAGGTATAACACACAAGCCAGCACAGTCACTTCTTTCAATATTTTGCAAACCAAACATCCAAATGAAAAAGAAGACAAAATTAATACCAATTACAAAATAAATTGTATGAACTGTAACAGACATTATATCGGTCAAAGAGGGCGTCCCCATAGAATCAGAAACCAAGAATACAAGTTAGCTGTAAAAAGATATAACATATATTCTTTCATATCAATACACGTAGATAATTAGGGAAACTGATTTGATTGAGATAATGTAGAAACTTTAAATAGAAAGAGCTCCAAAAATACTAAAATGAACCGTCAATTAATAAACATATTGTTATAGACCACATTCACCAGCTAATCATAATTAAATCACATGACAAGAAAGTTCAATTTCCAAGTCAATAAAAAATGAACAATAGAGAGGTAAACTAACAACCAGTCACGACAATGGTTGCCAGGAAATACAGATATATCATTTATCGGTGGCACAGCAGTTAGGACTCTCGCCGACCATGCACATGGTCCAGGGTTCGATCCCCTGCCGACGCACACCCGATATCTATGGTCGGCCAGCAAAATTTGGGCTACCGATATCCATGCTGAAAATTCCATACCTGTACCAAAAAATACCGTGTGGAATCAAGCTATAATCAAAATTAAAATTTGAAAAATGAGTTCATCCCATGCTTAAACCTGTGCTGAAGATGTTGTCTACAAGGACGATGAGAGCTCAGTCACCTCATAGAACACAACTAATTCGAAATCATCCCACTGAGCTACAAATCTCCACTATTTCAAATAGGCTCATTTAATACTGAAACCTCTACTAAAGATGTTGTATAGAAGGATCATAGTAACTTAGCAATTAAGCCACCCGGCTGAGAGAATTCAAACACGTTTAAATCATCCACCTAAGCTATAAATCTCTGTTATTTAAAAACTTATTATCTAATGAACGTAGACATATTCAACTGTATAGCCTGAGGAAGAACTGTTGCAAAGAACATACTCTTTTCAATAATCTGTGTTAATTTTTGAACTGACAACATTGTTCCTCACATTACTTGGACATTACGATTTTTAGTCTGTCCTCAGGTGCTAATTCATTTGAACTTAATGAAACTTTCTAGTATTATTCATGCTCTGCTGGTGAAGTTGCTTTTCCAAAAGAAAATAGGTAACAGTTATGTACTATACTTGAAATGTCATCATACTGATTGGTTAGAATTATGGCGAAACATGGTTAGTAAAATAGGCCTCTGATTTTACTCGGTACAGCACTTCACCTCTAGCTAAATTTATCTAGTTGAAATTGATCGAATCCTACTGCATTTGTAGTCACAATACTTTTTATGTAAATACACAAGTCATCGTAGTTTTCAGTGTATATTTCATATAAACAAATTGATGGAACATTTATAATAAAAGACGAATAAATCTAAGTTGAAAATAAACAATATTAAGTAATGAAAAGGCATGTCATTTTTTCACAGATGACAATGAGGCATACAAAATTCGACTGACAGTAAATGATATGCTGCTAAGTCATTCAAAAGATAAAGGATTATGAGTGAACTAGTATTTGGATACATTTATTCTAATGTATTTGCGTACGCTAGCAACATGCAGGTTACATGTAATCTACTAAATGGCAAAAAAAGAGACATGAAGACTTCATTTAGTAATCGTCTTAATAATCTTACTCATTTCTAGACACGAATCTATCCCTCAATGATCCCGCCATTGTTTCTGAAGTATTTAAGGTGATTTTCAAAAATGTCTAATATAACGCGATGGTTATTTACTGTCAGAAAGTAAAGAATTATAGTTATAAAAATATGCCTAAGCTGTAGGAATCTTAGCGCTTAGTGATTAACAAACCACAGCCTCATAATGCAAGTTGTCAGAATTAAGGACAAATGATGAAGTGAAGTAAGTCACTCCGAACTATGCTTTTGATAAAACCTGCTTCATCGAACATAAATTTGATTCTTTTTTATGTTCATCCACAGTCATAGACTACAAACTATTAAGAGTCTTTGTCTTCTTGTGTTTATCAAGGATTATTACTTTTCTATATTTAAAAAGTATTGAACCCGTCTTGAAGTAAAACTCATTGGCATTCATGAAGTACATGTCTCTAAGTTGGTATTTCCTTGTTGAGACTTATTTTGGACGGTATCACAGGTTTCATCTTCATCGTGTAATATTTTGACACTTAAATCGCAATCCAATGGATGAACACTTGGTTTATAAAGTTAGGTAAAGAAATACAAACTCACAGCTTTGATATTAAAGTCATTTGTAGGCAGAAACAGCAAGACACTGAATATATATATATATATATATGTTTCAAACTCATCAAAGTATGAATGATATAGAAAGATTACCTGGAACCTTGAAATAAGGGAGTATGTCACTTCACTGAAACAATCTTACTGTACCTTATACAGAAAACCCCAGCAGTACGCAGATGTTCCTTATCAGTCTACAACTTAATATGATTGGAAGTCTATTAATTAGCGGTTGACTCTGCCCAGCATCCTTCTGTATAAATATCTGCCTAGAAGGGTACAGTTATCTTCAGGCTTTTGGAGTCATTTATCTTCAGAGACTTAACCAAGCTATACCAGTTCCTTATCACTACTTAATAAGCAGACAATTCAAATATAGTATTTTAAGTTAACTAGCCTAAAACAAAATAATGATTACATAGCTATATTCTTTATTTTTGTACAATAGCCTATGTCACTATTCCACTCAATGATCAATCAAAACAATGCGAAGTACAACAATGGTTCACAATGCAACCTCCACAACTCGGTCCAAATTTAAATTATCTCGAAAGCCTACAAGGTAGTCAGCAGCATCAACTACAAGAACAAAATGACGCGAATCAATCTTCACTAATGAATTCAGTTAGCGGACGATCTGGACGCTTTAGAAAACATTCTACTCCAGCTACATGTTTTGGTTATTCCAGTGCATTTTCAGGAATAAATAACTCACAGAATTCAAATAACAAACCAACTTATGATGAAGTAAAGTATACTCCTATTGAACAGTCGAAGAAGAAAACTTCATGGACAGCTGGTATTAGTACAGATATAAATATGAATAAAAATAATAAATGTAGTCCTAAATCGTCACTTATTACAAATAATACTCCATGTCATTCACCAAACAGCAATTCAAGTACGACAAATTTTATTCTACCTGAAAATTCTTTACCTCAAATAAGAATGAAAATTCATTATGAAGTTGTTGACATTCTACCTATTGTATGTTATGATGCGCTAAAAGAGGTAAATTTTCCATCCTTTTTTCCCTAAATGAACAGCACTATCTAAGCCTGTAATGCTTTTTATTATTTCAGTATTAGATGAAGTGTTTTAACTTTAAAGATTTAGACATTTATTGTCCACATCATTACTTTTGCATAAATTGAATAGCATGCAGAAACAGAGATTGCGAAGACATTCTGTGTTTTTAGGACTTCAGAACATGGAGCTACTTATTTCTAAATTCATCATTACACTAAATACTTTTCCAGATGATTGTTTATTTTATTTTATTTTTTTTATTTTTTATTTACAGCTTGATTCCACATCGCATTTTTGGTACAAGTATGGAATTTTCAGCGTGGATATCGGTAGCCCAAATTTTGCAGGCTGACCATAGATATCAGGTGTGCGCCGGCGTGGGCTCGAACCCCGGACGATGTGCATGGTCGGCGAGAGTCCTAACCACTGTGCCACGGACGCACTGTCCACAAACTAACCAAATGTTTAGTTGTATGAGCTTAATTTTATTAGAGGAAGTAGAAGAATTTTTGATCAGTGGTACTTGTGACGGCTATGTGGTATATCGAATTTTTTCGAAACCCAGAAAACTAGAGCGTTACATAACATTCAAGAGGTTAAGTGCTTCTGGTGGAGGATACAGTCCTTTACTCAGTTCTTTCAGTGTTCTTCAACTTACATTACTGCTCAGATTACGAAGTCCAAAGCAGCGCTCTCCAATCTTCAGTAGTTATTTATCAAAGATGGAAGTGGATGGATTTTTAGTCATATTCATATATAGTGAACAGTAAAGACTAGGAAGTGTAAATCTGACAAGTTCCAGTGTGAGGTCCATAATTTATAAATCTTTTCCATATGCTAGGGTATAACAACTGCAAATTATCCAGTATTGGTTTGTTGGAGAATTTCATCGTGAACTGACATCGGTTAGAGATCCATTAGAAAACTTAATAGTACTAAACAACTCTTTCATCCTAGCTTAGGACTCGCCAACAGTACGCACCCATCTATGCTCACTAGCAACTGGCCCTATTCAGGCAGTTACCTAGCATTCTAGTGGGAAGCCGTGACTAGTAGGTTGCAGCAGGTCGAAGGTGAGGACAGTTACTCATTGAAGACATTACCAAGTCATCGCGCTATGTCGCGAATTGGCAGAAGTTGGAATTCATGAACTATTGGATAGGGTTTCAGTGGTTTAATGGTTGGTCTATGAGTTCACTCACCTTGGGACCAGAAGGTTCTGGGTTCGAACCCAGGTGGTGGGTTTCAAGTGCTGAAGAGTTTCAAACTAGGACGAAAGATCTGTTCACTACTCCCTCTCTGTTTTCCAATGGTTCTCTAACCGATGTTGGCTCATGATGAATTCCTTCAACCAAACTTTAAATTAGTCTTTCATCCTTTCATCCCCACTTTTTTCAGCAAATATGTGTATAACTGTTTTAAATTCTGTGCTACAACTTCGTTGAACTTCGCCTACTATATTGCGTTTTTTTAGTAAATATATCTAGACAAATGTTAACAACCTCTTTGATCCTAAAGACAGTTATTTTTTGCTTTTCAGTTCATTAAAACAAAATATTTGGATTTAATCAAGAGTTTAGAAGTAAAATTATCTGCTAAACAAAAAGAAGAATTAGCTAGTTGTCTTGTGAATATTTTTGAAAAGTCATCAGACCTGTCGGTAGCTGAGTTGCTGACAGAATTGCTGCGTGAAGATATAAATAACAATGGTGAGTGTATGTATCCTCCTCTTCCTTCTTCTTCTTTGCAATCCTCAGTAATAATCAGGCACAAGTGAAGTGAATTATTATGTAATTTCAGATGAGATTTCTCGGATAAAATACGTTCCAGGTGTTTCAGTTAGTCCGATCTGAGTGATTTAGTTGTCCTTTTAAGCTAACCTCTTTATCCCACCAATTAGAAGAGGTGCCTCATGACTCATTGTTTACGTGACCTGTAAACTAGACATTTGACTCCAAAGTCGAGTAAGCGTCAGGTCAAAATAGTCGAAAAATAGTTATAATTTCTTAAACTAGTAATTTATTGGTATTACAAAATGAATATATTTATAGTTGCAATTCCTAGTGACGTTGCATTTGCATGGAGAAATAAATCTTGTCTTCTTAGCATAGGTCAGAAGTATATTACTGTTATGCTAAAGTAACAGTGGATCAAACTGACAATTCCAGTATCCCCCCCCCCTGTTATAATTAAAATGATGATTGATAAGGTAAAAAACACTGGGATTAAAAAGAATCACATAAATATTTGTATAAAGTTCTATTCTGCCTTGGTAGTGAATATTTACTTTCTTCCAAAGTTTTGGGCATCCTAACATGATATCTGTGGATTTCATCAAGAGAATTCTTAGCTTCTGTCATCTACTTAAAGGATATATGAACTGAATGTATTTTTCTAAATATTGATGGGACATTTCATGTCATTCTGATAACATATTCATAAGTCCAGCTTCTTTGCATTTTTCAAAGATATAACAGTCTTTACAGTGATGAGAGCCTGATTACTGTCAATTACTGCCATCCATTTAGCTGTTAGATCAAATTACAAGAGGAAGTAATTTTCTCTTAAAATGTTTCCTTTTATCTTGTACTCGTTTTCAATATACAAAACGATATGCTAATAAATATGTTTGTCTATGTATGCACTGTGCGTCGGTGGCACAGTGGTAGAGTGCTCACCAACCATGCAGGTGATTTGGGGTTCGATCCCCGGCCGATACAGTCCTTTACCTCGCTAAGCCAGTAGTAAGACTTGTACAGAGGGAAGGTTGGGCATGAGGATACCAACCACATCCTGTAAAAATGATTACCACCGCTACAGAAAATTCAAGTGAAGGCTCGAAGCCCTATATTCCCCTGGGAACGTAAAAGGAATTTAAAAAGTGTATGTACTACTTAAGAAAGCCTAAATGACTATGCGTTATCTGACCACGTGCCGTATTATTAAGAAAAGGGCAAAAATCCTCTTAACAGAATAATTTAAGGTGAATAACAAGGAGCATTACTAGGCTGGTTTGTCTTATTGGACAGGAAGATATACTTAATATAACATACACAGCATGAGATCTAAATTAGCAAAGACCGCCCTTTATTTCCGAAATACTATAGGACTATGTGGCTGATTTCATTTTCTCCCTCTAACTGTCATTCAAATAAGCAATAGCAGGTCTGCAATGCGAATATGTTATTTTATATTTGTTAAACAATTTACACTAATTGGTGTGAAATTCATCATATTGTTTATTCCAAATTAAGGCAATGGATCAATGATATTTCGCGCCAATTCTACTGGATCAAAAGCAATGGAGTGTTACATTAAACTGGTTGGATCTGATGTAAGTTACAAGAAGAAAAAAAAGTGTTTTTTGAAAATTTTACAACTATATCTTACCGCTTAACTTTTCTCCTACGTATCCAGTATGGAACATCTTTGAGTGGTCATATTCATTGCATATAATTTTTGTTAAATGTAAAAGTATGCTTACTGAAAAGTCATCATAATAAACCTCAAATGTTATTCTACAGGCAGTCATGAACTTAGTTATCATACTTCTTGAGACCCATTAGAGGATTTATCTAAAGAAATGAAGAAAGTCACGTCACATTTTTACAATTATGGCCGATATTTTTCATTGAAAAGGTCAGATTACTATACCAGTAAGGTGTTAACTATCATTTCTTGGTAATTTGTTGTTAACAAATATCTTGCATTCATCAGCGTGACGAATGTGTATACATCAGATGTTTGTAGGAGGTTAAACTACTGAAAACATGAGTAACATTCTTTTACTCAAGCTTTAGTGGAAATATGAGACTGAAAGCTGCTAAAACAAATTACTTTCACCATAGATATATGTATAGTAGATTGGAGTAACTAAGCAACATCATTAAATACTTTATTCTGTGATAAATAATGTCTGACGTCAGATATATGACAGTGCTAGTTTTTGTGAAGTATTTCTTCCCTTACCTTAATAATAATAATAATAATAATAATTTGCTTTATTCCAAAACAGTACTTGTGATACAGAATGGAATTCTCAGCATTTTACTACAGTATTGCATCCAGTTAGCACATTATCAATAAATAAAATTCTACATAGATTAAGGAAATCTCAGTTCATTGTGACAACAACATATTGGTATGTCGGTAGCAAAGCCAGAAATTGAACAGAGTGTTTGAAGGTGTTAGAAAAGCAGATGACAGCATATTTACTGGCGTAAGCAGAAGAAAGAAACAAAGCAGCACATAACAGAGAAAGAAAGAGAGAGAGAAAAGGAAAATAAAGAAAGAAAACGTACCTATAAAAGATATGAATTGGAATAACGAGATCCACGTGTTCTACTGACTGTTGAATAAGTTATAGGTATCGCGGCTAATGCTTTCTTTATCGCACAGAACACCAGCTAAGTAGGGTATGGTTAAGTTTTTGTACTTACTAGTGCGAGCATACAGTTTTCTATATAGGCTTCTGGTTTTACCTGATGAGATACAGGAGATACCTTAATGTGTAGTAACAAAAACACCAAATAGAGATTTTATTCTAGAAATACAACGACCGAAAGCTTTAACAGACCGTGGAGGGTTTCATTACCAAAATGAAAGAATTTAAAATAAACAAACAGTTGTTGAAATAAGAACTTGTTAGTAGACGTCTATGCATCGATGGTTCAGCGGTAGAACGCTTGCCACCGATACACGTGGTCCGGAGTTCGATCTTCAGCCAACGCACTCAAAAATTTCGCCAAGCTGGTAGTAATCCCGGTCAAGAGGGAAGGTTGGGCGTAAGGCACGCAACCCCCAACCCCTTAAAATGAAAACACTGCTACCGAAACTTCAAAGCTGGAGCCTGAAACCGTATGTTCCACTAGGAACGTAAAGGATTAAAATAAATAATAAATAAAGATTTAGAAAAAGCAGTGGTGTGACAAAACCTTAATAACTAAAAGCACATATACATGCATATAGATGCTTGTACCATACGAAAAAAAATAAAAAATAAAAAAAAAGAATTTAAGACACTGACTATAAACTGGTGGACATTCTTCATTTGAATTAAGAACCCTTTGTTCTTCTTTAACGAATCAGCTGTTAAAATCAGTTTACTCATCCATGATGCTTAAAAAAATATCTTACCAGGAAGTGAAGGATAATTGAAAAGTAAGAAACATTCAAGTGTTGTTTTATCTAAACTCAAAATTCCTTAGTATATCTCATCCAATGTGAAAACTGGTTAACCTTAGCTGATATTCTTGCCTTCCTAAGTTTTCCAGTATGTGAAAGCCACTGAAAAGTCCTTGAACTAAAACTAAACAGTCTTCATTTTTAATGATTTTCTTCGTGAAATCCATTCGTGATAAAATTTAACTTGAAATTAACTGGAGAAATTAAAAATTTTATCTTTCTTGTTCAATTTAACTGTTTTTCAAATATTATTTATCAAAATCTTGTTATGGAAAAAGGGATTGATAGACAATGGTAATAATATTATTGTCATAGTTTTGAGTAAAAGCCTTCAGTACTCTTTATGATACATTCAAAATAGTCACAAATATTGTTTTTTTATTTTATTTGGACAATAATTTTTCCTTTGATGTGTGTATGAATAGCAGCAAAATAGAAACAGAGGAGGAGAGAACGGAAATAAATTTCAAGCTTACAGTGCACTTCACTGTCTACTGATATTGATGAAAACATTTTGTCTTTTATAGAAACATTATATAAAAAGCGATCAGTGTAAAGTATAAAGCAATACATCTGTGACAGTTGTTTATCTACAGTTGCATTTGAAAAAGTCAGGAAAAGAAGGAGAAAAAGTATATTAATCAACACATATGTCCTTCATATATATATATATATATATATATATATATATATATGTCTGTATGTGAACATGTTTATCCCTGAGGTGTAATTCCAATCAAACATGCGCAGTGAATTCACGCATAATCGATTTAGAACAGCCTACAAAACGGTGAAAAAAATATTCTGACACAAAGATATAGCTGTAGGTGATTCGTGTCTCTAATGGTTAAAAGTAATCATCAAGTTATTATTATTTATTTCTTCCTGACTAGGTGTAAATTCTTTTCATTGGACACTTGTTAGTAATTAGTGTAATGTGTCTAGTCCTTTGTTTAGTGCAGACTGAATTCTGTCAGTCAGGTTTGCTATGTAACCAACAACATTCTAGGTGGCTTGCCATCAAGGTGCGCGTTGAATACTTGCTATTAAATGGTTGGAGGCAGTCGGCCACAGGAAGCCTTCGACCTAGATTTCGTTCTAGCTGGCACTCACCAGTCAGTAAGGCGTATCTACAACCTCGAAGGAACTCATTTCCCTTCTGAGAATCGAACCGGCGTCATCCAGTGCCATCTGCAGTCAGAGACGTTACCATTGAGCTACTCGGGCTTGCAATCAACCTCATATGGGACTGTTAGTTACTAGTGTAATGTTTCTAACCATAGCGCAAATATGCCTTGCTGAGGAGTGCCATCTAGCACAAAACCTAGGTCAAACAAGGTTTCCCGCCGATTACCTCCAACTATCTAATAAGTTTGTGCGTCGGTGGTATAGCGGTTAGGACGCTCGCCAACCATGCATATGGGCCGGGGTTCGATCCCCGGCCGGCGCACTCCTTTACCTTACTGAGCCAGAAATAATGCTGGTAAAGAGGAAAGGTTGGGTATGAGGCTAGCAACCCCATCCTGTAAAAGTTCAACACTGCTACAGAAACTTCAAGCCACTAGCTTGGAGCCCTATGTTCCACTGGGAACGTGAAGGAAAAATTATTATTATTATCTAATAAGTTTAAATTCATTTATCATTGAAATATTGACAAGAATTTAAGAGATAGTATATGCAAAAACACAGAAATATTTTTACACAGACGTTATGATTTAAAAATAAAAACAAATGAATTCAGAAACGAACGTAAAGAGATAAACAAGTAACCCGATGTACACATTTGTTTACTGATCGAATTGTACCTTGTTACTACCCTTCATTTTTATTTGAAACGATAAATACTCTTTTATTCAAGTATTGGTTTTGTAGTAATTTCAAATTTCATACGGAAAGAACTTGAAGTCAGGGTGATAATTTTGATTTTGAAAATGCGAAAATTAGTTCAAATATCAGCGAAAAAAAAGTTATTAGAACATAAGTCAGTCAATATACAAATTGGAGTAACTTTTACTCTATATATGTGATTTCAGAAGTAATGGCAAGATGCGTACGTACATATATGCACATATGTGTACACTGTATAACAGTTTATAAAGCAATGTGTTAAGAGTCAAAGGCTTTCACGAGTCCTGGAGAAGTCTATGAATTCATTAAATCCCTGTCTAACTGCTTAGTGCCTATTTTAAGCAGACTAAAGAGCCTTCTAATCATAGCGGTATGCCACGTAAACGCTTGCAAACTATATACGATTCGAATGTAATTTCTATAGTTTGTATGAAGCTCTGATCTTTACAAACAACACGTGGATGCATGACGTTATATACTACTGGCTGGATAGTATGAGTGGTTGGATAGAGCTTAGTGCTTGCTCACCAGATCATAGTGATCTTAAACATTGGACTGTCGTTTCACTCGTTTGAGGTCGAGCTCAGATCAGATAGTAAAATCAGTTCAAACCATCCGAATTCATCACTTAGATCACTTCAGCTTGACTAGCAAGCACTGCCAGGTATCCAGCTGTTCATATCAGTCAATCGGTAGTATATACCATCCTATGTTTATGCTCACTTTCTTGTTTGCTGTTTATGGTATCAAGCACATCAATTATTCTGGATCTCAGCAATTTCAGTTTTCAATGGGAACTATGGCAAAATTTCACCTGAAAATGTGTAAATTGAAAATTAATTTGCGAAATGCAAATTTGATCCAGAAAAGCGCTGAGTCAACAAAACGTTTTCTTTCTATAGTTGGTTTGTAAGGATTAGTTTTGTTTTTACGAGTTGATGACGGATTGATATCAGTTGGAGAACCATTGAAAACCAGTACTGGAGTACTGCACAGCTGTCTCGTCAATCTAGTTTGGGAGTCATCGGTAGTACGCACGCATTCCCTAGGTTCAAACCCAAGACCTTCCGCTTACAAGGCTAGCTCATCGACCATTCAGCCACTGGAACCCGATTCAATAGCCACTTCATGAGTTCTTACTTCTACCAATTCGTGATTTTAGTGCGACTGGCACCAACCAATGTCATCTGTGGGAAATCCATCTTCGCTTCCAGCTGGATGGACCTCAGTGGTCATGACTTCTCACTAGACCTCCAGGAAACTTTGTCCTGGGGGAGTTTAGAATTCATGGACTGGTTATTGAGTAAGTTTCCAGTTGGTGAGTGGTATACGAGCTTACCTTATAACCGAAAAGTCTTGGGTTCGAACTCAGGCATTGGGTGCGTACTTCCGATAATTCCCAAACTCGACTGACGACACAGCTATCCAGTACTGCAGTGCTGGTTTTCAGTGGTTCTCTGATTGATATCAATCCGTGATCAAATCTTAAAAAACAAAACTTCTTTTTAACAATTTGTTTGAAAATCAGTTTATCAATGGTGTAACTTTACTGATGTCAAGTTGATAAATATATTTGGTTTAAAGCGTACGCTCTAAGATATCCAACCAAAGTGTTAATCAGTAATATCTTCAGCCTGGAAGTAGCTGTCGTTTGTTTATTGAAATTTCAAGATTAAAGACTTAATACACCCTTCCTTCAGGTAGAAAAGTGTCTGACACTGAAACTATCCATTTACTCATCCATATTACTCATCCTGTTCACGTGGTTATCCTCACTTCTGGACTGACAGTACAAAATGTACATCGTAGATATCGGGTATCATAAGTCATGACATCATATCAAAAGTTATCATATACTATTACTATGGAAGAGTTTGATAATAAGTTTTGCATTTTTGTTTCAAACTCATTTCTATGCACTCTAAATACTTCAAAAACGATATTCAGCTGTGTGAGTCCTTTAAATTTATCACCAACTAAGGAAATCATCATGAAATGATATTGGTAAGAGGACCGCTGCAAAACCTTGGAGTACTGGAGAGCTGTTTCGTCCAAGTTTGGGGACTTTCCACAGTACGAACGCGCTATTACCTTCTGGTTACAAGGTGAGAGAGCTCGTAGACCAATCATTTCGCCACTGGGAATCAATCCAACGGTCGATGAATTCCTTCTTCTGCTAATTCATGATGTGGCTTCCCAGTGGCTTAATCGTATACGAGCTCGCCTTGTAATCAGAAGGTCCTGGTTTCGAATCTCGGTGGATACGTACTGATGAAGAGTCCCAAACTAGGACGAAACGGCTGTCCAGTACTCCCAGGTTTTCCAATGATTCTCTAACCAATGTCAGCTCATGATGAAATCCTGAAACCAATCAAATCCCTACAAATCAACACTTGAACCAAGGAAATACTGAAGACTAAGTAGCACTGATTATTTTCTCCTCCTTAGTCTGTTACTTCTATTTTAAGTTTACTAATGTCAGTCACACCTTGCATAAGGACACGTAACCATTCAACGAATGATTTTAATAACAATGTTGTACCCATCCCAACGAACACTACATTGTGATGTTGATAGTCACTGCCTAATGTCACCAGTGTGTTATTATTATCCTATCCAAATTAAACAGTCGTACAAGGAATTCTTCTCCAAACAGTTTACATATGGACACCAGATTTTCATTCTCTTAGATGAAGTGTCGTGAAATAACTGTTATTATTGTAACCAATTTAAAATTTCAGTGTTAATGATGAGTTGAATGAATTTTCTAGAAGCTTCCAAACAAAAAGTTTATAAACACCCAACTTTACCAGACATCAAGTTAAACTTACATTGGATATAAATTCAAGAAGGCTAATATGGTGTAAATATTTACTTGATAAAATTCATACGTTAGAATATGGACGCGTATAAAGTTTCATTCTATGCTTGTTACATCAGTTATGAAAATTCACAGAAGATTTTATCGGCAAAAATGTTTGCATTAGATGAAGGCTATATTATTCACTTAATGTCTAGTAAATATTGTTTTCGTTTATAGAATTATTCAAACAAAACCGATAATTAAAAATATATGAAAATTACATATTTTATCGATCGTAACAGTGTTGAATCATTTTCAGATCTCATAATGAATGAAGTCTAAGTAAGAACACTAAGTTTTCATATTAGAGAACGATAGAGGGTCTATGATGTGATCGATGTGTTCTAAAAGATTAAAACCACAAGAACTACATCTATTCAATACAAATTGGGAATGATATCAAACACATCGACTGATCACTAGTGAGTACTTAACATCCTAAAATTCCACTTGAAGTAATGGTGAAATTTAATTGATTACTGATGAGTTTGAAATCTTCACTTCCATTGATGTATTCTGGATCATGCAGAATAGTCTCTTCTCAAAGATTCTTGCTGACTAGTAGTTTAACATTAAATAAGGTGAGCAATAATCCCGGAAAGGCAACCTGTTCGTAACAGCTCGATAAAAATTATACCTTACACAATAGAACATTGACTACTACTTCTTGTATGCATCTGAATGAATGCTAGAAACATTCAAAGTGGCAAAGTTTAAAATAAATTTAAACGTTTGAATTGTTCTAAAACAAGTCATGCTGTCATTATGCTTTTCTCGTTCGAAGGTTTCGTGATAGAAACAATTCGAGTCTTTGATTACACTGACCACCTGATTTATGCATACTTATGAAATCAGTGTTTTGCCAGTCTTCTTACTTGATCAATCACCTTATGTATTGTTCTTTTTAACTTTTTAACATCTGTTTAGTTATATACTTCACAGACAGTAACTAAGAGAATTATTCTTAAAATAAAGGGTCACACTTATGTGTATAAGTAGTTCTTTTTCTATAGTTTGGTTTATAAGGATTTGTTATATTTTACGAATTGATCACGGATTGATATCAGTTAGAGAACCATTGAAAACGAGGGGGTACTGGAAAGCTGCTGTTTCATTCTAGTTTGGGATCACCCAAAGTAAGCACCCACTAGGATTCTAACCCAGGACCTCCCGGTTATAGGGCGAGCTCGTATACTATTCAGCCACTGGGACCCGATTCTTTGCCAATAGTAGTTTTGCAATGCGAACAGATCTGTAAGTTTACCTGATATAAGCTTCCTTGAATCATGCAGTAGGCAGGCTAAGTAGTCATAAAATACTTAATGACTGAGAGAAAATTTTTTCTGCACGTACAAGAGACATTTTATTACTTATCTTTACTTAATTATTTATCATATCTCCTTTTTATAATTATCTCCACTGACAAGATACCTGGTAAAAACATGCGCCTAATTTCTTCCCTTTTTTGTCTACACGACTAACTTTTGTTGATTTTTCTTCAATGATTTAATGAGAATGCGTATGAACAAGACGATAGAATAGTGAGGGGATAATATACGTATATTACTTTCCCCTTCATTTTCGCCGATATACATATATCGTCTCGGTACAATGATAAATGCGACTAGAAATAATTGTACGCCAGAAAAGTAATTTTCAACAGTAATAATATTAATTTATTCAAAGTAATAAAAATTGAACAAAAGTTCTTTAAATATTGTCTATTCTTGCTGGTGAACTTTAAAGCTGGAAAAAAGTATCTCAAGGCTAATTTCCTACCCCTGAAGCTAGTAGTCACGGACACTGTTTCTAATGATGTCTTGAGCTAACTGCTGAAATTTAGTCAAAATAACTGCCTAGTACTCTTCGAGTTCCAGTTATCCACCGGTTGTGATGAAAATCACTCTTTTCATGCAATAAATTAATGGATTGTAATACCAGCAGTAATATTCACTATAGTGTTAGTACGTAAGTAGTACACTCTTACATATGAATTCCGATAAAACAACAGGTAGTACTTTATATGAAATGTGTGGTGTATATGCGCAACACATTTGGAGCATTCTGATCACAAGCGTACTTGTTATACACATTCATAAAAAGATTGATGGAGCATACAAACGTCAAATAATTTTTGAAAACTAATTAGTTTTCAGTCCTTTTATGGTTACGGCTTTGACTAATTTACGTTACAGTTATAAGTTTCACAAACGTAGTCTGGCTACTAACAAGTAGTATGAAACATTCGACAAATTTATACTAGTGAGGGTTGATTGCATTGCTCTAACTACATTAATTAATTCCCTAATTACCCAGTCACTAACCAATGTTATCAGTGTCACAATAATAGATGGATTGTGTCATTCATAGCAAGCTGAAGTCGTTCTCTCTCGGTGCATTTTCGTTTGAATTTAGGTAGTTGGAAACAGCCAGAGGTACCGTTTGGTACTCACCAGCAAGTTATACTTAATGAGTGCTAACAGTGAGCTATTAAAGTTGAAATCGACGTTACTTAGAAGTGTGTTAGATACTTAAAACCAGTGCTGATAAATGATGCCATCAAGCACATAACTCAAATCAGTTAGAAGATCCTGACAACAACTGTCAACTCATACCGAATTCATATTCTACTGGATGTTACTAACTTTGATATTGATCACTTTCAAAGTGGACCCACTCACGTTAGAAGAAACATTCTAGCGGATTTAAAGGTTACGAAGAATCAACTGTTTGACTTGAAATTAAAATTACAATAGCTCGACGGTTTTCCGTACCTGAAACTACCTGGTGAATACTGTGAGTTGAAGCAGTCACAGAGAGTAACCGATATTAAAGGGGAAAATAACATTGATATAAGAATAAAACTTGTGCACTGTGGTAGAGTGTAATTCCATTATGGGTAAATTTTGTTTTGATAAAGTCTCACAGTGTTATACAGTAATGTTTACTGATGACGTTTCGAGCACAATTTATTGCTCATAATCATATCAAGGTAATCACACGACTTCCTAAATTCATTTATATAGTTCCATTGTTTTTCTCTTGATTTTCACTTGATTTGATTGGTAATAGTATTTTCCATATTTCAGGTATGAGTGAAATATGGAAATATGAAATATGGAAAATACTATTACCAATCAAATCAAGTGAAAATCAAGAGAAAAACAATGGAACTATATAAATGAATTTAGGAAGTCGTGTGATTACCTTGATATGATTATGAGCAATAAATTGTGCTCGAAACGTCATCAGTAAACATTACTGTATAACACTGTGAGACTTTATCAAAACAAAATTTACCCATAAGGGAAAATAGCATATTACACTTAAGCATTCATTTGGATAATTTCTGGTGAGACCGATTTGTGTGTATGATGGCTATGCTCTATATAGAAAACCCTTATAACCCTTTTTTCTCATCTTATGATTTATTTTCAGTACTTGAAGTACCTTTTGAGTTCAACAATCGATCAGCTACTTGTCATTGAAGATGAATTCGAAGTAGATCCTTCAAGAGTGGGAAACACGAATGATACATCAAATTCATCAAATAACCGCAGTCCATTACACACGATATTAGAAAGAAATCGCGCGGCCTTATTGAAATATGTTGCTGTGATATGGCGAAGGATTCAGACCAGTCAATGTAAAATACCTAGGTAAGTTTAAACATCAATAAATATAATTCATCTCTGCTAGCATCTTTCCTCAGACATAAAAGGCTTTTACAGTTAAGCTCACCAATTTGCTTTTGATATCTGGCCTGTCAGTGATGTCGAACTGCACAGTATCCCTATACAGCAACACTGTGCTAAAAGGCGGTTTCATCAGTTAAAACTGCCTATAAAACGATGATTAGTAGAAGATTCGTAATAAATATCAAACGAGGATAATCAATCCCGTACTTCGCTAAACTTTGAAGTCCAATGAAGCAGTTATCTTGACAATCATAATCCTGTCTAAGATAACTATTCCTAGTTTTTGAAAGGTGTTGATTTCAATTTTTAAGACCTTAAATTTTTTGATCAGTCAAAAACCGCGAAATGTGCCTTCAAATATACTTACTGTATCCAATGTCCATTATTTCAAAGTCCAAAGGAGCATTTCCAACATTTAACAGCGAAACCAATCTTGTTATTCGCCAAAATTCGAAGCTAAACTACTGTTTATTGAGTGTTAGTTTGACATATATTGTCACCACTTATAGTGTAAATTTTGTGCGATACATAATTCATGTTGGTCATCCATTTGTGCACCTAAAATCTCAGAGCTTATAGGTAGATTTTGACTGAAATTCTAAATTGTTTATATGAATCTCCTTGTACTCACATTCACCCACTATCTAGTGACATTTGAATAAGCTTTCGGTCAACTGATAACATCTGCGATTAAATAACAGAAGGAATATTGTGTGGCCTTCAGTTTTACCTGTCTACATTCGCCAAACTCAAATAAAGCAGTAAGAAATTGCTTAGCACAATCTTTGGTAAAGAAAAAAACTCTGGAAATCATGAACATTCATACGACTTTCAAAAATCAAGGTGACTACAACTAAAGTGATTACAGATCCAATTAATCCAGTCTTTTCTCTCTAGAAAAGTGAAATTATGCACCAGAGGGGATTTTTATAAGCAGAAACCAGAATTGGTTGTTTTTTATTTTTATACCAGCTAACAAAATTGTTAAAGATAAGAGCCGTTTTGATCATTATAATAGTAGATAGTCACAAATACTATAACTGTGAGATAATACAATTCAGAGAATATTTATAATTAAGTTAAATACAGTAGTACTACCGTAGTATTAGGCTAATTTAAATTGATTGTTTTTAACCTAGTAGACCGTTGCCCCGACATTGTTTTTTTCCAATCTCATAAAATAAATAAAAAGACCTGGGAGTACTTGACAGACTTTTCTTCCTAATTTGGGACCCCTCATCAGCATGCACCCACCACCTGGATTCAAATCCAGGACCTTCTGGTTACACAGCAAGCTCGTAGAACATTCAGTCACTGGGACCTTATCCAATGGCCAGTGCATGAATTTCCACTTCTGCCAATTCACGACGTAGCTCGACCACTAGCCAATATGATCAGCGAGTATCTGTCCTCACACGCGACATGCTGCATCCCACTGGTCCCGACTTCTCACCAGAACCCAGGGAACTACCTACCTGAATAGAGCCAATCGCTAGTGAGCATCAGACTGATGCTCAGATGTTGGTTTACCGAGATTTGATTGGTTATAGGATTTCATCGTGAGCTGCCTATGGTTCGAATCCCGGTGAATGCATACTGTGAAGAGTCCCAGATTAGGACGAAACAACTTTCCAGTACTCCCAGGTTTTCCAATGGTTCTTTAACCGATCTCATCTAATGATAAAATCCTGTAACCATTTAAATCCGTGAGGACTAACACTTGATTATCAAAAGACATACTTAATAGGTCTAGTTTGATGGCTTATTTAACTTCGCTTAATTACATGTTCAAATTTCGTCATCTTGATGCGTGAAGTAACCTGATGTCGTTTTTCTCTTTCTTTTTTGAACAACAGAGAATTACGTGAAGTCTTTATTGCATTAGCAGCTGCTGTCGAAGAAACCCATGGAGTTCAGTCAGCTGCACATCTTATTTCAAGCTGTTTATTTCTGCGTTTCATATGTCCAGCTATTCACGGTCCAGTTCTATTCGGTTTAACTTCATCAATACCAGAAGATAATCGTATACCTAGAAATTTAACATTAATAGCTAAAGTTCTGCAGAATTTAGCTAATTTAACCTTGTTTGAAGATAAAGAGCCTCATATGAAATCTCTGAATTCATTTGTTGAACAAGAAATCCCGGTCATGTATAAATTCCTTCGATCAATTTCAACAACTGACGATTCAAGTTACCAGTCGTCTCCTGCTACTAACTGTCATGAATTTATTGAATTAGGATATGAATTTGCCAAACTTACCCAATTACTTAACGTTCATGTAAATAAAATTAGTGTAAGTTATTTTCTGCGATTGTGTATTGTAATGATGTGTATTCTCGTCAGTTACTTTAAAGTTTCACTTAAATAACCTTCTACTGTGGAAGTCATAGTTTCAGACAGAAATGTCCAGGAAAATCTTGTTTTATCCTTTAAGTGTGCTTAGTTTTTACTGAAAACTTCCATAGTCATGCAATGAGACCAAGTACTTGTATTTTTATAAACGTGTTGCAAGCTTTACTCAACCTGTTTTTAACCATTAAAAGCTATATTGATTGGCCTAAATGGAAGAGTAGTATTATATCAGTATGCTGATAGTAGGCTCTTATCTGAAATTTACCACTTGAAACGGCTTATAAAAAAACAATATCTGCAAGTATCGAACCCACTGGTGACCTCATAGATACGCCATCTTAGTGTTTGTAGATAACACTACTGAATGTGATTTGGATGCTCAAAGTGTATCTAAGTTGAAGTTCATTTAACCTGGGAGTCGGGATTCTGATATTCATATCTTTGTTTTCGAATTATTTGCATATGGAGCAAATCATATCCGTTCTGTGATAACAGTATATGTAGGAAAAGATCACAAATTAACATTGAAACTACAATATTAAGAAATTTTTTCAAAAAATAATTCAGGTCTACCTTCATTTCTTTATTCTCTTTCAGATCACTCCTAGAATTGCAGAATTGCCAAGTCTTTTACAAGATATAACAGACGCATTAAACAATCATGTTTTAATATCATGGACTCATAAGAGAATGTGTAATTGTGAAAAATTCACAAATAATCTACAAAATTCAATGGCCTGTCGGTGTGGAATGCCAAGACACCATAGCTTTGATGTACAAAATTCTATTTCAACTGCAGGTAGTAGAAGACAATCCGAAACGATCACAACTAACCCACCTGTAAGTAAATTATATTGTGAAGTATCTATGAAAAATACTGTGAACAAAGTATCTTTTACAATGCCAATCATAGTAACTCGTTTCATTTACCAGTCCCCTGAAAGCTTATGTCTAGGCATTTTATCAGTGCAGACGTTGTTTGCTCCTTCAAAGAATATTCATGCATTGGTGGGTACACTTGCATTTTACAGCTAGGATATTCGAATACTGATTATAAAAGGATCGAGGCGATGACTGTAGTGGAATGAAGATGTGGTGAGCAACTGCTGTCTGTATCTCAATCAGTAATGTTCCAGGCCAGTAATCTTGATGAACCTGATTTGAGTCCGATTGTAACTCACATTTTTATTCCAACACTACTAAAATGAAGCCAGTTAAGAATGACAAAGAAGCTACGGACATCAGAGTATCTAAAAATAAGCAACAATCAGTGTGATGAAGTGAATTTCACGTAGTGTATCCGATAAACGGCTCAAGACAGCTAGTAGGAATAGTAAAAATATGTAACGATATTTATTATAGAAGTTTGATTAAGAGAGATTAACGAACATATAGATTGACGATAATCAACAGATAAATCACAAATGATATAACTCCTCCAACTTATGTGACAAAACCAAAGTGCTGCATGAATCGAAAAACAGAGAAATCCAACCTAAGTGACTGACTGGTTTCAACACAGAACTTTGCCCAGATATGCAGCAGTTCGAGTTGCCACACTCCCTCCATGTGGCACACAAAGCAAGAGAAGAGAGTAAAGAGAGATTGATCAAAAGAGGGATAATAGACACAAGTGTGAGGGAAAAAGAATAGTAATATGGAAGAATAGTAAAGTTTTAATGGATCTGATAAATCACAAGGAGTGGATGCATCTGTGCCAGCCGTTGAGAATGATTTTGAGACATATCAAAAATTGTCTCCAGCCATCGGTTCTTACTATCCCGAGGACCCCAACCAGGAAGTCTGCACCTTCCTAAGTGGCTTAAACTAACTGTTTCGGATTTCACTGACTGATGAGGCCATGTTTTAGTTTGACTACCACTGGCTCTTTTCCCGCCCGACTTTATGCCCGTCGAGGAAGGTGATGGCTGGGCATGTGTAACACATGTCCTAACCATCTTAAATATTAACCATCTCAAATCTAAGTAGAAAAACGTATGAAGTCAAGTTAGAGGAGAAAACAAAGACCCATAACTATTTCTCTATAAGAAATTAAACTATATTTTAGCTTCATAACATTCAGAAACAAATTTAAATTCTTCATTCACAAATAAAAACGGTTCGAGGTGAAAGTTCGCCATGATTTGATCAGAAAATCTAAAATACATGAGATCTGCTTGATACCTTAGAAGGCAATCAAGAAAGCAGGGAAAATAATATTATGGTGTAGACTTCTATTTGACATAAGTAGCTGGGAAACACTTCTGTGAACCAGTAGTGCTTGTTAGCCGGATGGCAGTTTGTCTCGTTCAAGGGTGAACTAATCATTAGTGGGCCAGGGTTTAGATGAACTCATTCCGGTTAACAGGCATTACTACTTCTAACTCTTCATATAAATCAGTAGTTATTTTGTCTCCTGATTATCGTGAGAAATTGCATGGTTCCAACTTTGTCGTTAGAATAAATAACGCTACTTTAAGTAAAAGGGCAGACAAAGTTTCTGCTGAAAACACAAGACAGCAGCAACACCAAAGACTAGACAATATGACATTAGTTACCGCCTGCTGACCAATCAGTATACAAGTTTGTTTTCTGAATTACAAACTAAGTCCAGATACGCCTTGCTGACGAGTGCCAACTAGCACGAAACCTAAGTCCAAGGCTTCCTGCCGATTGCCTTCAACTACCTAATAAGTCCAATTTCAACAAAACTTGTGATTTCATACCACAGAAAATTCTCGCCATAGTAGAAGTTTTAGCTGCAGTCACTAAAATTAGTTTCTGATATTGAATCCTAAATTTCTACAAAACTTAGTTACTTCATTCCATTTTGCGATTCTTCATAAGCATAAATTTTTGTCCTAATGACTTTATCAGGTGACTAATGTGTATGAAGTAAACAGAAAAGAATTACCCGCCAATATGAAAACAGTCCAAAATCAACAAATCAGATACACTACCAACAATGAAGATTCAAACATTTCATCGATTAATGGTAACAATGAAGGTGGACGAACTTCAGCTACAAAAGAAGAAGATTCATGGAGTTCCTCAGTTACTCAAAAAGACTATTTACCACGTAAATTTAGTTCTGCTGATGTGAAATTTAAACGAATAAATGTAAATACTCCTGAAAATTCGGAAAACATGGAAGAGCTAATGAGTCAGTATCGTGAGCAATTACGTCAATTAAATGAGTGTATTGAAAAAGTTCAGCCAAACTCTTATCATTCTGTCTCAAATATTTCGCGTAATTTAAGTCAATCAACACAATCTGTACATAAGACAAAGTATCATCCTTCAGAAAGAGAGATGATTACGTATAATCCTTACACGCCAACCGTTAATGGTTCAACAATCAAAAATCATTTAGCTGATGACAGAATTGAAAAGGATTTTTTTAAACAAAATGTGAATGAACGCGGTCATCATTATCATCACACGAGAAAAAAGATAACTGATTCGAAATCAGATAATTCTACACCGATATCAACAGGTCGTATGTTGGGCAATACCTATCGTCTGCATGAAAGGTCAAATAATCTAATGAATGTTAATTCACTACTTAATAATAATAATACTAATAACAATAATACTAGTGAAGATGATATTAATGGAATGTTGATACCAATCAATACGACATCCATTAATACAGATCAAACAAGCACAAGTGACAGTGACTATAATTACAATGATGATGATCGGATAACAGATTGTAGTACGGGGAATACAAGTGAATGCAAAAGAAAAGTCACTCCAAAGAAAAATACAGCAAGGAAAATTTCTAGCAAAAGACAGACTCATCTGTCTGAATCACCAAGTTTAGATCAGTTGGCTGAAAGGTAATTCACTATTGTCTATTTCTATTTCCATTCTAGTGTCATTGTACTTCCAGACTTTATTTTTAATGTGTTTTTCTGTCGGTAAATGTGACTACTTGGTCATTCAGTACAGACGATACTATCATGTTCATCTACTAATTTCACAACAAAAACAACCTGATACAGTTATAAGTGAAAATAGGCTTTTAGGAAACATGAGCAAACAGAGATATAATCTATAGACTTAAAGTCCATTGAAAATAAAACCTCTCTAAGAATAACTTTTCTTCCAGCTATCCGGTGAGTATTTTAACAAATATATCACTGTTACATATCTAGGGATGGTGGAATAGCTTTCAAAGCTAGTGTTCAAGTAGCTTCATAAGTATATTGTGTTGTCCAACCCCACTATATCTAGTAACAGGCTTCCAAGCCCTACAAATTCACATAATTGTGTATAAAACTATCTAAGGAGAATTCGTTTGAGGCCAATCCTCAAGTTTATTAAAAATTAAGCCATTCAGAGGCCAAAGTCACATTTGTGCATTTACAAACAACCTGTTATTCTTATGGCTTCAAGCTAGACACTTGAAGTTTCGGTCACAGTGGCGTTTATTTTTACAGGGTGGGTTTTCTAGCCTCGCGTCCAACCAACCCTCTTTACTAGCCTTACCACTGGCTTAGCGAGGTAAAGAAGTGCATCGGCCGGGGATTGAAACCCGGCGTAAGTGCATAGTTGGCGAGCATCCCACTGCTTAACCACAGACGCCTATAACCATATGAAAGAATCCTTAATAATTTTGGTTTCTGAGACAAGTTTATTCTTTATTCTCGTGTTACTAAGCTGATCTTCACTATGTCTTTCTTATGTGATATGTTCTCTTTTTCTCATTGTTCAACTCTACTGGTTTTTACATGATTTTGTAAGACTAATATACGTGTATTAAATTATGTATCACCAAACTGTTTGAGATCCACTAATACAAGCATATTACACTATTTCGGTGAACTATTTACTTTCTACCAGTTTATCGAAATTCATAGAAACAAAGTGACTGCTTAAAACATTTTATTGCACCCACAAATTAGGTAATAATGAAATAGATTTATTATGCCCACATATAATTTCATGGGTAAACTTTCAAACACTAAACAACATGCATTTCATACAGACTAAGGAATTTCTGATGCTTCAAAACATGAGAAAAAAAGCAATGGATGAACGTATTTGACTTAGAAAATCTTTACATAGGAACTAGAAAATTTACTACAGAAAAACAAATACCACTAGACAAGATAGTCCAAGTAGAAATAGTGATAAGAGTAATCATAATAATCAAAATTTTGAAAACAGAAAATTTATAGCAACTCAGTTTTATGAAATGCATAAAATAGGCCAGTAATATTAATACTTTCAGATACATTTTACATGAAACAAACAGTGAAAATAAAACATTGACAAGAAAAACATTCGAACCGATAGAGAACTATCCTCAGAAATCTTACTCTTAAAGACTAAAGTTCTCTAGTGTAGCAATACAGAACGGTATTTTGTATATATGAAAACCGAATATTCTCCATTATTCCTCGAAAACTGTCGAAAGGATTTTGCAGTGTTGCGACCGGAACTACAACTTAGGAGACTGTGAGCGAATAATAACTTAATGCGCTGGCTAATCTGTCCTAATTGAACATCGACAACAACAATATTACCGTCGGTATACAAAGACAAAAGAAAAGACTGGACGTCGATAAGAGAGTTTCTACTGTCTCAAACAACAGTCAAAATGCTGCACAGAAACTTTGTATATATACAGCTAAAATGACCTTGAAAATGCAGTAATTCAGTGATGCACTAAAAGCATTGACAGCCAATAGGAATCCAGCAATCCAAACAGAGGGAAAACGGGCTCATATCGGTGCGCAATAACTCCGTAAAATAGTTGTTTTAAGGTTTTAGGCAACACTAGGTGTATATTACATGCAGTACTGTAACGACAGAAGACAATGGTCAGGCAATAAATCGTTTTTTTGAGGAAACCAAGAGATATTTATGTATTTTTATGTACATTATTATTCGTTATTATTACCAGAGAAACAGCGTCTTCTGATTCGCTGTTGTCTCGCAGGAAGTAAATCTGTCGTCTCTTTGTGGCCATTTATTTGAAGGTCAAACCACATATATGCGAATCGTATCCGTCCCCACAAAGTCTTTGTTCTTGTTTTTCTCATGACGAAGATTTGGGACGTAAACACTGACGCGAATTGCTGTCTGCCAATTTCGGCTAGCAGACAGCTGTCAACACAGTACTACAATCATCAGTATCAACATATGATAAATTATGTATGATTGCAGATATCCTTATCTCTGAGCAGTACTAGTGACTGTGTTAACACACTACGTTAGTCTGTCTAATATGGTAATATTTTCAACTGATTATTGTCAGCCTAATATTTGTCATCAGTAATAAGAGCATATAACACAAAGAAACGAACACAGTCTTTAGTTTGGAATGCCGTCTGCCTTCTAGAAAGCCAACAGAAGATGAAAAACACTAACTACAATTTCATCCAAGAAGTAGGGTATTGATGAGGTAAAAGTTTTAGTAAACACTAAACCAAAAGGACACGAAAAATATAAATTCAGATATCACCGACTAGTAAATTAGTAATATGATCAAATTAAAAAAAACTTGAATGATTAAACAATCTGTAAATAATATTAATACCTTAGAATGTTCGTATACATAGTGAGTCCAAGAGAACAAGAAAATAGGTCACTTCAGTGTAAAATCCATACAACTACGACATTTCATACATCTTCGTAGACAATAATAAAGCACATATGCAGCATTTGAATTTAAAAATACATCGCTGACTGCCAAGATTAGAGGCCTTACCTGCAGACGACCAAGTGCCAACTAGCTCCAATCAGTATATTTCTGTATTCCGCCTCTCAAATTAGTGATCACAACAAACACTAAGTGGATGAATTTTGACTGTGATACTTAGACTACCTGCGTCACTAATCCAAATAAAACTACTCTAAAGAAAATCGATGAACCACTACTTTTGTTTTTATTAATTATATCTGTTTATAAATTTCTTGTCACCTCTGTTGAAGAAGCTGTGGCTTACACAACAAAATGTTCAGAAAAATCTTGTTTTGATTTTTCTTAAACACACTGGGATTAATTTAAATAATTTATAATGAATATGATGACAAGTTTGTTAATCACGATTACTTTAGTAGTAAGCGCAACTACTAGTCAATCAGCTTCATTCTACACCATTTTGTTTTCATCTGTATTACAGTGAAGCTTGTGTTAGTAAAGAGGCACAGAGTCATGAAATTTTAATAACACAGTAGTCAGATAGAAGCAGCAATTAGAATGACACCAAAACATAACAGTGTACCGCACAAATCTATTCCACTAATTCTACCATAACTCAAACCTTATATTAAATTCTGCTGTCATCCCAGAACACTGATATCTTTCCACCAAGATTGTATTTGATAATTTAACTAATAGTTTTATGCGTCGGTGGTATAGCGGTTAGGACGGTTGCCGACCATGCACATGGTCCGGGTTTCGATCCCCGGCCGATGAACTCCTTTACCTCGCTAAGCCAGAAATAAAAAAGCTGGTAAAGAGGAAAGGTTGGGCATGAGGCTAGCAACCCCATCCTGTAAAATAAACACTGCTACAGAAACTTCAAGCCACCATCTTGAAGCCCTATGTTCCGTTGGGGAACGTGAAGGAAAAAAACTAATAGTTTTACGCATGGTTGAAGTAAAACCACAGGAGTAGAATTCATAAGAAAAATTCATTGACCAAATGAATAAGCTGTCACGATGAATTAAAAGAAAAAGAAGTGAAGATATCGAAATTACCCAAATCCTAGTGATCTCATCTGATCACAATCCTCACATAGAAGGACGCGACTCAGCAACTACAACTTGCAGAGATTTTATTTACTGTAGTTGTGGAATAACAGTTTGTTTCATGAATGCGTCCAATACACGTTAACAAGCGGAATAACTGCTTATATGTTAACATAAATGAGAACTAATAAAAATATAATGGGAGTATAGTAATGGTGGATGAATATAAATAAGGAGTTGCGTAATAGGGCAAAATACTTAAGGAACGAATTACTATCGAAATGGTAATGAAAACGAACATAAAATGATATCTTCTAAGAGAGGTGACGAATGGTAGAAGTGGAAGCTTTTCCCCTCCATTTTTTATAACTTCTTAACATTAATGGATCAAGGCTTTGGATGAATTAGAGGTTGTAAAAGTTTCCTTTGAATACAAAGTTCCAGCTTCTCTCTATTTCTACAACTAAAATCTCAATGGTAAAGAGAAGCCCTGACACATTTAATTTTCATCTTAGTAATACTTCCTTCACGTACGTAGATGGTATCTAAACACTTATCCTGTTATCATTTATGAGTCTTCACAAAAAATAAACAGCTTCTATCAGTGGACCACTATTAAGGTGTGATTTGACATTCAGAGATATGATACGTTTACTAGAGCTAATCATATCCCTCATACAGTGGACGAGTTTGAAGATATCATTCACGGAGTGGATGAATAATTGTTTCAAAAGAATGGTTACTGAACAAAGAACATTCTTTTCGATAACTTCATCATCAGGTTCTACAGTAATATATATATATATACATAATAGTAAATGAATTAGTGTTATTAACAACATTATTTCTTTTTTTGATTGCATACTAGTCAGTAACTAGTGTAATGTGTCTAGTCCTATCTTCACTGCAGACTGAATTCTATCAGTCAAGCTTGCAATGTGGCTACCATGCTAGGTGGCTCACCATTACGGTGCACTGTGAATTGTTGGTATTAGATGGTTGGAGGAAATCGGTAGGAAGCCTTGGACCCAGATTTCATGCTAGTTGGCACTCATCAGCAAGGCGTATCTGCAACCTTAAAGGAAATCATGTTCCTTCTGAGATTCGAACCGAAAATATCCTATGCAGTCCTACAGAAGGTCAATCGCGAGTCTGAATAGCTCAGTGGTAACGTCTCTGACTGCAGCACTGGGTGACGCAGGTATGAATCTCAGAAGTGACATAAGTTCCTTCAAGGTTGCAGGCACGCCTTGCTGATGAGTGCCAACTTGCACGGAACCTAGGTCCAAGGCTTCCTACCGACTGCCTCCAACCATCTATATGTAACACAGAATCAATAATATCAATAGATTACAGTTCAATAGCATCAACACAACAATAAACTGAATATCAGAAACATTAGCAAAGATAATAATACAAATTCATGAATTTATATTCTCCACTGAAGGTCGAGACAGTAGTAGTAACTAGACTTGCTTCTTTTGTACATAAAGCACTGATTGTTCCAAGCTAATTGCCATAGCCTCCTCTGTTTACAGTATACGTTGCCTGGATGTTATAGGCAATTTATCTGGTAGCCGGTAAATGACAGAGAAGGATTCCTCAATGCTGGCTTTTGTGCGCGGTTTGGACTAGATGGTTATCGAGAAGAATATTATTTGTTCAGTAACCATTCTTTTGAAAAATTTTAATGGGGAGTTTTAATCAGATAAATGTTTCTTAATCGGTTTTATGATTTTACCTGACATATTTGTTACTGGACAATAGGAGGATGATGCAATATCTAAAATCGGGCAGAGTGAAAAGCCAGTAATGCGTACCTTCAATAAATCGTAGATCGACGACACCATTGATCCTGTTTCCCTAATATTTTCATAATGGTCTTGACTAGTTAAGGGGTTATTTTTCAATAACTTTAAAACTTCCCTAAGCTGCTTTTCATCTAAATCAGTTATTTTTTTCATAAGTAGATTTCGAGAATTTATTGTTATCCAAAAGTACATATAACAGTTCATCTCTGTAGACTTTTCGATATTTGAGAACTCAATTCATTTCTCACAGTCTAAAGCAATGGCGTGGTCTTAAATTATTATATTATTATTATTATTGTTCTCTTGAGTTCCTAGTGGAACATAAGGCTTCAACTGCATGTCTCCACTTGCTTCTGTCTTCCTTCTGCTGTACTTTTCACCTGCATCCATGCTAGTCCATACTGTTTCAACTCCTCTTCACACGATCTCCTACATGTCACCCATGCACCAACGACCCACTCGCCGCTTCCCTTCCACTCGAGCAATGGCCTGACGCGCGCGCGAAGTCACCCAGAGGCCTCCTCAGAGAGTGCCCAATCCATCTCCACTTTCTCCTGCATATTCGTTGGGCGATTGGTTCTTGTTTTGTTTCTTCCCATAGTTTCTTGTTGGTGATTCTTTCCGGCCATCTAATTGATCTTTAGTACAGAGCGAAGACAGTTGTCGATGAAGGTGTGCAACAGGCTGTTGGAAGTATTCTTTGTGACCCGCTCGCCAAGTTTCTGACCCGTATAGAAGAGCTGACGGACTTGACGTTTGTATTGAAGATCCAAATTTTGTTGTTGATGCTGGCCGAGTGACGAAGATTTCCAGATTGGTTTCAAGTTGATGAATGTGTTTCTCGCCTTCCCGATTCTCGCTCGATTTGACACTCTCGTCCATTCCTCCTGTAGTTGAGACAATGCTCTTAAATAGCACCAACGAATCAGTTTACGTAAACTATTCTTATATGATAATGTTATATTATCTTAAGTTCTTTTCATTCATTATTTGTTTCATTGTCCCATTTTAAAAATCTATTCCTTTCAATGATTTAGATTGCAAGAATTGAAAAAAATGCTTCAACTAGAACGTCAAGAAATTGAAGAAGTAGTAGCCTCTAAAACTGAAGTAATAAAACAGCAAGAAAAATCAATTGAACAATTAGAATCAGAACTTGATCAATTGCGTCGAGAATGTCGACCATCAAAAGTGAAGCCACCCAATGGTAAGCGTACTAGTAAGTCGACATCGCGTACAGTAAGTCCATCTTCTTCCTTCTCATCAGAATGCTATACATCTAATTTATCCGATTTAAATCAAACTTGTCATGGCTATTATCATCATCAACATCATCAAAATATGAATACTGTTACCAGTAATAATTTTAGTAATGACAATAACTGTAATGATATTCATATTGACGACAGTCATCATAACAATAATAATTCAGTGGATGCGATGAGTACTACTTATCACAGCAATCAAGGCTTGAATACTATTGGTTGTAGTGAGGCAGCCAGTATGGAAAATTATCGTACACAAAGTTTTCGTGAGAAGTTACCTTGGCATGGACAAATAAATAATCGAGAAACACCGGTTAGATGTGATTCAAATTTACTCTACCTATCAAGAGGCAATGAAGGAGCAAGTATGTCATTAGGACATTTAATTGAAGCAGATCGTTCAATACAGATGAAACGTCATATTTCTGAAACTAAAATGCTACCTCACTAACAACACACAAAAATATAATGAAAATATAATTCAAGAAGGAATATTTGAAAGATATTCAGCTTCGTGATAGTCATTTATTCCACCTACATAAAGTAGATTCTGGTTGATGCATTACAAACAACTGATACTTCGACTGTCATTCTTATGCCGTCGGAACAAAACCATCCACACAAAGCTACATTTTAATAACAAGTATCGAGATATAAACTTCAGAAATAAACATTTTCATTTTTTCAACTGCTTCTCTATTGTCTTTCCGTTTTTTTTCTTGTTTTGTTGGACTTCGATAGATCAAGATGAAATACAAAAAGATGTAAAGCATGAGAATAAATCTTTTTTTCGTGATGTCTATCTATCTTTGCTCTACATTTTTTTCTCTTCATATTTTAACATTAAATATGTCAAGATTTTGACATTACCATTGAAAATGAATGAACTTTCATATTCAATGTGTTCAATGCCAAAAATCAGAAACAGCCTTTTTTAATGTACATAAACTTAATAAATAGATAAAGATATGCTTCTATACAGACATTATATATAAATGTAGGTATATTGATATAACTGCCTCCTCATTTTCATAATAAAAAATAGAAAACAAAACAGAGGTTAAAATTTATCTATTCTACAAACAGTTTCTTTTCTGCCATTGTGGAATAATTGTCTCAAATCCTGTTTTTATATATGAGGTATATTTGACTACTTCTTTACTCAAACCAGTAGTAAATCACAAGTGAGAACTGAAAATTGCTTCACTATTAATCTATAGCAACTAAATTTCATAATAGAAAAGCAATTATCCCAACGAGTTTATAAGGATATCATACGAGAAAAACCACTAAACTGTCAGTAAACAAAGTTCATTTCTGTTCCAAATACTCAGATTCTAATGATGCGAGAATGGATATTTATATTGCAGGTGTTTGCAGTTTATTCTCGAACAGCAACAAAATATCAAAATGTTTATATCTTTGTGATAATGCCAAATTTATTATAGCCGTGAATAGGAAAATATTTTGACAGGAGGTTCCCATCAGTCTCTTGACGTTGCATTCCCATTATTATTGTTCACTTGGGTTAAGAATGAAACATCCGCATTCAACAACACATCTACATTTCGTCCTACTTTCGGAAGTCCACTTAAGTTGACCACACGATTGCCCATAGTCTCTCATCTCATCCTCACACAATCTCATCTATATCACACTCCGACCATAAATCAACTCATCACTTTCCATTCGGATCCCACTCGACCGATGGTCTAACGCACGATGCCATTCTACGGTCTCCTCAGCGTATGCCCAATCCATCTCCATTTCCTGCTACATATTTGTTAAACAATAGATTGATTCTTCGTTGGTTTGTCCCCATAGTTTCTTGTTGCTAATTTTCTCTGATTGGACATCTGATCTTCAATATGGAGCCAGTGAAGGTAGCTGTCGATAAAAGTCTCCATTGGCCTGTTCGAAATACTTTTCGTGACGCACAAGCCATCTTTCTGACCCGTATAGAAGAACTGACTGAGTACACAGGATTACCATACAAAGTGATTTCGGATTGATGAAGGTGTATCTCGCCTCTCCGATTCTGGCTGGTTGGCTTTAACATCTTCATCTGTGACATCCGCCTGTGGTTGAAACAATGCTTCATAGCTAGATAAGTGAAGGATCGTTGATAGTGATTGGTGCTTTTTGTCTTTACTGTTGGTCGGTTATCTTCATCACCACCATCTCTATGTTGTTCACTCTGAGTCCTGTCTTCACTGCCTGCCTCTTCTGTTAGTTTGTTGGTTTTTGCCTTCATGTTTATGTGAAATTAAACATAAATCATCCTCGAAATCCAGATCTTCTCAAGTCTTTCTGTCGGTCTAGTGTATTGCTGTCTTCTCAACCCCTACAGTCTGACGCATAATCCAGCCCATCATATATATATATATATATGCATATATTGAGGGCTGCCTGCTACTTAAAACTAGTAAACAACAATTTACGTCAACGTGTACGCCCCAAATCTTGGTCATGAGAAAAACAAGAACAAAGACTTTGTGTGGGCATATTCGATTAGTAGGTATATGGTCTGACCTTCAAATAAACGGCCACAAAGAGACGACAGAATAACTTCCGGTGAGGAAACGACCAATCAGAAGACGCTGTTTCTCTGCTAACAATAACCTATAATAATGTACATAAAAATATACAATTATCTCTTGATTTCCTTAATAAACAATCTGTTGCCTGATCATTGTCTTCTGTGGTTACATATGCACCAAAGTAATTTTATCGATTATTTGCATTGTTTCTATTCCAAATAAAGTCGCCGTTCGTCTTGAATGCGTTTCATTTAGGCTGGTAATTATACTGATGATTAACACCTGTTTTATTATCGTAAATGCAGTTAGTCCTGTTGATGGAAGCTTTATTACTAGATATATAAATAAATTGCGCAATTACTGGTATTTTTATCCAATGAACAGACTATGTTCACCCTAGATTCGGTAGTTTATTATATACACACAATTATCGAAGTAGGCATAAAAATTAATTCATAAGAGGAAGTGTGTAGGCTGTTTATCCTCAGTTCGCTTCAAGTTACCATTGTGTTTTGTTTATTCATTGTCTGAAAGGCAGAAACTACCCTAGGCGAAAACATTGTAGTCGAAATTTGTAAAAAAAAATAAGCTTTTTGCGCACGCCTGAAGATGAATTATCCTTCTACCAAAAATGTACTTATTATTTGTACGACTAAATTTGTTACATTTGAGTTAAACAATGTGTGTGAATTTACTATGCCGATGCATATTACCGCAGATATCTTGTAATGGTATTTTGCTAAACAACAAATGGTTTTTCGTGTCCATTGTCATTTTAGTTGTTAAGTTTTTTTGGTATTTTTTACGCAAACCGCCTTACTATGCATTTGATGAAACATTTTGTGGATTCAGCTATTAAAGTTGATTCACTTTTAAGATAGGCATATATATATATATATATATATATATATATATATATATATATATATATATATATGATGTAAGGATCTGCTTTCAGTAGAACGATATTAGGTTTGGAGTAACGATCTGCGTAATATTTATTGGAAAATGACTAGGTAGTGAATCCGTCTCATAGTGATTTACTTCAAACTTTCGAACTTAATTCTTCAAGTTATAACCAGTTACTTGACAAATTGACCTAATTATTCTTAGCCTTACGTAAACTCTGTCCAAAAACGAAAACAGATCGTTATATACACTTCAGCAGTGCCACACAGTATCGTTACATATTTCTATCGAAAATTCGGTATTTGATCTTAACAGTTATGAGTTCGGTTTTCGCGGAAAGTGTAGGAGAAATTTCGTTTGCTGTGCTCATGCTCATACACAATACCTGTATTTTGTAGGCAAACAAATGATACTTTTGGATCTCAATTCCTAATGTGTCAGATAAAATGTGAGTTTGTTTTCAAATGATCGCTGAATTATTGTTATAAGTTCTTTAGCTGTAATCTAGGCGTTTTAGCGATTTTAAGTCCAATAAGGATTCGAGTGACCTGAGAATGTAAGTAATTTTAAACAAATCCAAATAGTGCACGGAGAGCAGGCATAAAACTTGTGCTATATATAGCATAAACAGTGTTTAGAACATTTAATACTCCACAATGGAATTTTTATATACCAAATAATGAATTCATCTTAACTGATCTATACAAAACTAGTCACCGAAAGCCCTGCAGTGCCTAAGTTTTCCACACAGTTCAGTGGATTTCGCAAAAAAGAAATAACAGCATATAAGCAAGTTGATCGCCAAGAGACTACTACTGCAACTGTCTACTTTTACTTAATGCGTAGGTCATAGAAGACGATCAACAAGAAATAAGTTTCGTGCATGTCAACACCTATCAGTAAAGTGTGTTCGCAGCCTAGGAAATACTCATGATATTTCTGTGTTTTGAACACCTGGGTCATCCAATAACTAAAACACCTATTTAGATAAACCCTTCCGAGGAAATGCAGAAAGGCAAAACATTAAGATCGCTAACTTTTCGCTGAGTAACTTCCAACATATATTACAGTAGCTGTTGTATTCACATAGGACTGCATTTCTACTAATGGTTTTCATAAATTATTATTCGTCTCCAGAAGCATTCTCAAATTGCAAGGCATTTTAATACATTCGGATGTAACTCTTCTTATTGTCTCACCTAATCATATTAGAAAATGAAAAGTAATCATAATAAACATAAATACTGTGTCAGCCGTAACTCCAGTGAAGGCGAAAACCAACCAACTAACAGAAGAGGCAGGCAGCGAAGACAGAACTCAGGGTGAACAACATAGAGAAGATAGGGGTGGTGAAGATAACCAAACAACAAACAGCACCAATCACTATCAACTATCCTTCACTTATCTAGCTATGCAGTATTGTTTCAACCACAGGCGGATGTCACAGATGAAGATATTAAAGCCAACCAGCCAGAATCGGAGAGGCGAGATACACCTTCATCAATCCGAAATCAGTTTGTATGGTAATCCTGTGTACTCAGCAAGTGCAGAGGACAAGATTGGGATTTCCATTACCGATATCAAGTTAGTCAGTTCTTCTATACGGGTCAGAAACATGACTTGTGTGTCATGAGTATCATTTGGAACAGGCCACTGGAGACTTTTATCGACAGCTACCTTCACCGGCTCCATATTGAAGATCAGATGTCCAATCAGAGAGAATTAGCAACAAGAAACTATGGTGACGACCCAACGAAGAACCAACCTATTATTGTTTAACAAATATGTAGAAGAAGATGGAGATGGATCGGGTATGCGCTGAGGAGACCGTGGAGTGACATCATGCGTTAGACCATCGGTCGAGTGGAATCCCAATGGGAAATGACGAGTTGATCTGCGGTTCAAGTGCGACATGGGGTAGATTGTGTGAGGAGATGATGAGAAATTATGGGGAATCGTGAGTTCAGCTGAAGGCGACCGCAGAAAATAGGACAATTAGCAGTGCAGTCTGTTGGGGTGCCACCTAGCATGGTGGCTTGACTGGTAAAATTCAGTCGGCACCAAAGTTAGGACTGGATATATTACACTAGTTACTGTGAAGTGTCCAGTCAAAAATCCAGATGCGTTGTTGAAGCCCTATGTTCCATTCGGAACCTAAGGAAACGATTATATATATATGATCCAACCAATTTAACAAAAGTGGCCAGACTTCGAATTCGGTAAACAGTGGAATAGATAGCGAATGAATTAAAAAAGCAGCCCGAATTACACTTATAGAAGAAATATATACAAAATCTACCATCAAGAAAACCAGCTTTGAAGTCGAGAAATTTCCATGAAGATGAGGCCTTTTAATTTTGATCTTCAACAACCAACGTACATAGCTTAACAGACTATACTATCTCAAATTATTTTATCGCATTCCCTTAATTTGTACCCATGTTCATTTGCACCTAACTAATAAGCCTAATCCTTCTTATTTTTTGTTTTCATGCTATTTTACTTGCATACACGCACACACACAACTCTACCTCCTAATTTTTAATTTAATACTATTTGACCGTATTTGCGTGACGATCATAGTCTGATAATGTCAATGATAGATTCTAAGAAATATAACTTCAGTATGCAAAGTAATTTTACGACAGTAACCTTAATAACTACAAATCTGTAACAACTTCAACATATGCTTAAAACTAATGTACTATATGGCGATTTGCATTTCTGATATGCTTTTTTAAAATATACAGCCTCAACACTATCACAATCCATAATACGCTATCCTGTGTTCATATCTCTTGTTCCATCACTATCCTGAAATAATTCTTAAGGTATGTTATATATTTGCATTTATAATAACTTATGTCATTTTTAGTTTGTTAGCAGTTGAAGAAAAGCTGTAGGAAAAACGGTGACCTCTTCTTATCCTTCAAGTATATTTTTTCTTGTTTTGCCTGAACTAATCATGGAGACTGGTTGTATGAAACACTTTAAAAGATACACAAAAGGATGATCCTCACTTCAGAATGGTGGTAGATCCAATCTGCAATACTTTCTTGAACAATCGGAGCAGTTTTCTGATAGAAGTCACATCGGTGGTAATTTCAAGAATCAAGTAACTTATTGAAACGGTAGAAGACGAAAACTTGGTAGAGGAATGTTTATTTGCAATTTGGTATCTATATGTATCCAAATTATTTGCACCCTATCTTCAACGCACTATTCGCCCAGATATTCGTTGTTGTGCTGCTTCTGGCCTTCATATTGTGTTTCTTTGTGTTCCTTTCACTTCTCTCATGTATCTCCACAACGCTATATCATTTGCCTTCTCTCATATCAAATTTATCTCCCCGCTATTCGATGTTTTTATGCCAATGAACGTCTCTTTATATACTACTGATAAATCCTATCAGTAGCACTCGCCACATTATGACGCTTCAATGTTTTGAGTACTCCTCGAGTCTTTCCCGCTATTAAGCGTATCGAATAGGCTGCAATACATTTCAGTTATCGTCAGATACTGTTGCTCGCTTGTTTTGATCAGCATAACGGTCTTAGGTATTCGTTGTGCAATTTTACGCTTAAGAACGTAACACGGGTTATCACACTTGCTATCCGCCAAAGTGTGGTGACTGGCATCAAGAAGTTGCAAGTAACTGGCTAAAACCATACACCGAAGCCTCATTACAGAAAAATCAAGTACTCCAAAAACAGACACATCTGCAGATAATTGAAGTGTGGTTTATGTAAGTTTATGCTTCTAATGAATCTCGATGCTAATCTTGTGAGTTTAAGTCTCCAGCTAACACTACGAATATTCCCTGAGTGGACCTTTCCTGGACGGGTGCTTAGGATTCAGTCTTATTTTCAATCCAAAAGACCACGTGTGCAAACGGTGAAAGGTCATAGCTTCATACCAGATACTTAACAATGTACCTGAAATTTCTAGTCAAACCATATACCAATGACTACGAAAATCAGTCAAATCCAATTGTTCAGCTCCACCTCTAGTGCTTGGTGTCACATCGATGAGGCGAATCTGATAAACACGTATTTAAAGTAATTCGTAACTTCACAGATACAGAAGTTATTCGAAGTACTTCGCCATGATCTCGTATGTGTGCCCATGATATGTCGCATGCACACATCAACAGAGAAGCATTAAGACATGATTCGTATATTCGCAGAATTTATAAACCCTGGGTCAATGGATTCCGCATCGGTAGTTGAATACTCAGTGGGCTCACCCACTAAGCTGATTGCCGTGAGTTCGATCGCCAAACTAAGACGATGCAGCTGCCAAGTACTCACTAATTTTCAGTGGTCTCCCAACTGAAGCCAGTTCGTGATATAACCTATAAGTTGACGTGCGACATCTAAATAGGCAAGTTACGTGTCATGGTGGAGAACCACTACGTGAAAAAGGCCATTCAACACATCGAAACAACACATCAAAATCAAAATCTTAGACTACGATGAACAAATGAAATAAGGTGAAAACAAGAAAAATGACAACAGCAAACCAATGCATTTCATACATAAAGAAAATAACGATATAACAGAAAATAATCTAAGTAAACAAGTGCACAGCCCACAATAAGAAAAAAGGTGAACCTGTGAAATTTCCATTTATAATTGTTCCACAATGCTTTGTGTGCGAACTAAGATATTACTTGGAGATCCAAACTGAAGAGAACAAGTCATCCAGCGTTTGACCTACACCTTAATCCATGGAGCACTGCAATATTCTTGCACTCTGAGTGTGTCTATCGTACTACTAGAGTAGACGACAAAAAGCTTATAACGGCTGAGAAATATTTTCGTATATTTTAAAACATAATACAACAACAGAAAACAATCAGTATAAATGGGAGGAACCTGAAAGAAACAACCTCCTTTACCCACCTACCTACCTGGGAAGCATTGTTTCAACTACAGGCGGGCGAAACTGACGAGGATATCAAAGCAAGAATCGATAAAGCAAGCCAAGCTTTCATTACTCTCAAGTCTGTGTGTACGTCAACAGTACTCAGCATCAAAAATAACATCCGGATTTTCAACTCCAATGTGAAGTCAAGTTCTACTTACTATACGGATCAGAGACTTGCACTGCGCGTCATAAAGAGCATCTCAAACAAACTACAGACCTTCATTAACAGTTGTCTTCGCTCAATACTCAAGATCAGATGGCTGACCAGAAAAGATCAGAAACAGGGATGGATCTCTGGCAATGAGCGAACCAACCAGGAACCGATTGTAAAACAAATAAGCAGGAAGAAATAGAGGTGGATTGACCGTACTCTGAGGAAACCCTCAAGTGACATCATTAAACAAGCCATTGCTCGAGTGGAACCCGAAAGGGAAGCGGCGAGTTGGTCGTCAGTGTGAGAGTGGCTTGGAGGAGGTCATGTGAAGAGGAGATGAAAGCATGTGGGCAGACGTGGAGCCAGGTAGAAACTTGAGCAGAGAACCGAACGCGCAATGGAGACGTTTGGCTGAAGCCCTATGTTCTTTTAGGAACTAAGGGATGTAATAATAATAATAATATAATAAAATTTCTGTGGAAACAGCTTATCAGTAATCCATAAAAATGATTTTTCCAGCAGCTAGAGAGTCCCAGTAATTTCCTTGCACATCTCATTTCTAAAATCGAGTTTGACGGCGAAATCGAAATTGCAACAGGTGAAATTACTATTTAATATATATAAGACAAGTAAAATAATCTTAATTTCAGGCCAATTCGACTTTTAACATGTGAAGACTGTCAACCGAATCCACAATAATGACTTTACTAAATCAGGACAACTTCAAAACCGATAAGATTTTATTATCAAAATCGTGAAAGACAAACACAGCGCTAAATGGTTACAATAGGAAGTGGATGAAGGCGTTAGACAGTAAGCGAACACACACACACAAAAGTTTACATATTTATCGGACAAATGAATGTTGAACATTGTAAAGACGGAGACATAGCAAGCAAGGTATATATTACAAAAGCATAACAGACAATTGTAAAAAAAAGACATTACAAATAAAAAGTACAATTCATTCAGCCATTATAAGGAAGATTCACAAACAGTATGATAACTAATAAGTCTTATATATACACTATAAATATCAAACGTTTTGAATTCAAAAAAATAGTTAGCCCTACAATATCAAATTGACAGATGACCCTGAATGACCAGAATTTTAAGCGAAAAAAATTCAAGATATTACGTGAAAATGCTTTATAGCAGTACAAAATAAATGGTCTAAGAAAAGAGTACAGGTTTCACTTAATATATTCTGATAAGCTTCGTGACCCCCATAAGATATTCAAGTTGGCTGGGAAATAAGTTGACAAAGTAGGCACAATAAGCGACTGCAAAGTGAATTGACTAAAGGCATATTTTACTAACCATGAAGTGATATTAACAGTCATAGGATATCATCTGTGCCTGTCAGAGTTTTTAAAGATGTATATTCTTGGAAATCAACATCCGATACATACTTTTCGAGATGATTTTTTGACGAAATTGCCTAACTTTATAAGAAAGTGATTCATTGTTCAGTGTCAAAGTAAAATGGACTCTGGAATAATAAAAAGGAGCTTACTATCACATTCTTTATATATTTTTTATGATTACAGCTTCATTCCACACCGTATTTTTGGTACATGTATGGAATTTTCAGCATGGATATCGGTAGCCCAAATTTCGCAGGTTGACCGTAGATATCAGGTGTGCGTCGGCAGGGGATCGAACCTCGGACCATGTGCATGGTCGGCGAGAGTCCTAACCACTGTGCCACCGACTGAGAATGAATGAAATGATTGTACAGCGATCTAAATACTACACTCTCCGTTTAAAAAATCCTTTCTCTTTATATTATGTGTGGAGAAAAAAAAGGTGATCACATATACAAAAAGGAAACAAGTATTAAATGATTAGGAAAATTTAGAAAATAAACAATAATCAATAAATTAAAATAATAATAATAGTGGTAGGTAACAGTAGACATCACAGAAGAAGACATCGAAAACACACCGAAAAAACCTGCAAAAATGCATTAAAGATAAATGTATTTTGATTGCATTAAACAAAATAAATAATCTCTAGTGATATAATGTGGATGGATGGAACAGACAGTCAAAAGTGCAACCTCATCATGTAGTCAATTTATGAATACAAAAGTTGATTGCTGTTTCAATATCATAAAACACAGGGATATTCAACTCTTCAGCTAAATCGATCAAATACATACGAACACGATTATAATCATTGACAGCCTGTTGTGAAAGTGATATTGAGGAATTGTGAACAGTTATAATATTGGCTGATGATGAATGAGTGTTGTTGTTCATATGTTGTACAGCATTAGCTTGGAATGATAGAATTTCAGATGATTTTACATTTGAACAATTCATAGTATTACTAGAACGTTTAGTCGACTGATAGATATCAGGAATAATTCCAAACTCTAAAGAACTTGACCTTTGTGATAACTCTTCTTCAGAGAGGGATGAATTTGTGCCTGTAAAATCACTTGAAGCACCACTACTACTACTGCTGCTGCTAGTAGTGCTACTTTTAATTTTCATATCGATTAAACTCTTCATCTATAAATTTATTTGAGATAAGCATTAAATGAAAAAAAATAATGAACCTACCGGGAGTTGTCGAGTTTTAAAATCACTGGAGATGAATTTATGCAGAGAATTAGGCTTGGAGTTTCCAAGCGGAATTTCACAGCCACTAGAAGAAGAATTAAACATTTGTACAAAAAGGACGACTGGCAAATGACATCCCATTGAATAAACCGCCTAAAGGTAAAATAAGGGATACAACACAAATTAGGAAAATAGTAAAGTTTCTGGCGTTATGGTGTACGAAATGTACAAGCAATACAGGTGGCCGTTTTATCACATCTAGCGGTACATAAGTGTGAAAAAGGTTGTGCTTGTGGTTTATTTTAAAAAAATGAAACCGATTATAAATACAATAAAACGCCATACAACTTTGATGTTCTATGCTTGACTTATTTACTTGCACAAACAACCACGGACATCAATCCAACTGGGACAACGTTCAAATATAAGAGAGAGGAAACCTCAAGAATGTCAGATTTTTTAGAAGCCTGGGATTCTAGTGAATCGTCAGTTATTTTGTATAATTAGAGCAATAGAATCCTTCAGTCGAGTAATTTTACCTCTGAGTGAACTTGCCCACTGAAATACTACTGTGATCCCAATCTTATTAAAGATTCTGTGTACGGCTTTTGATGTACTCTCTACAGAAGCCCAGAATTGTATTTCTGATATAATTGTTCTCTTCGCCAACAAAATGCAGAGTCTTTTAAACACCTTGAGCAGAAATCTTTGAATGTTTGGTAGGCAATTCGCTCCCGCCAAATGTAAGATGACACTACAGGACTGTACTACATTGAATCACTTCTGGTTTAAAGATAGGGAGTGAAGTGGTAGAGCACGTTGACCACCTCACTTATTTGGGAAGTTGCATCAACCAGTACCAACGGGTTGATCGCTGATCTGCAAGGATAGACAAGGCTCGTTTGGCATGTGCCACCTTACGCCATTTCTGGCTTAGTAGACGTGTTATCCGACTGCCGATCAAAAAGCGTGTGTACTGCTCAGTAGCAGTTCGCTCCGTTCTCCTTCATGGCTGTGGACAAGACATGACCATTGGAAGTGGAAGACATGAAAAGGGTGGTTAGCTGTATTTGATCATTAGTGCCTGAGTTCTATCACTCGTGTTAGGTAGTATAGTAGGGTGGGAAATACTGAGGTTAGGCATCGGTCGAGTACTAGGTAGGTGAGGCGGGGGGGAGGGGGGGAAATCCGTCGACGAGGTTGCGAAGTTACACAGATTGAGACGGGTAGGACGTGTGCCACGAATGCCTAGCCTAGCCATCGCCTTCCTCGACAACCAGTGTCAGCTGACATAAGATTGATCAGGTTGGGAAAGAGTTGGCTAGTGGTGGTCAAACCATAACATGGCCTCATCAATCGATGAAGTCCACAACAGTTAGTTTAAGCCAGCCATTTACGGAGGTGTAGACAACCAGCTTGGCTGTAGTCCTCAGGACAGTGAACACGGTGAATGGCTGGAGACAATTAGTGATATGACTCAAAATCGTTCTGAATGGCTGGCTCAGATGCAACCACTTCTTGTGACTTATAATGCCCAATAAAACGATATGGTTCTTCGGTAATACTATTGTTTTTGCCTCATATCTCTGTTTACTGTTTCTATTTTGCATTTCTTTTTACTTTCTTCTGTTTGTATGCTAAGTGAAGTGTGGTGACTCGAACTTCTGCACATCTGTGCAAAATTCTGTGTTGAAACCAGTCAATCAATTATTCTCTCTTTATTACGCGTTTTAATGAACTTTTGAATGAACTCCGGAAAGTAGTTCTTGTTTGTTTCTTTACCAAGAACCTTTAGACATATACTAGTGGAACTAAACAGCAACAAAATCTAAGCTGGAATACAGAACACCTAGAGGAACAAAATTTAAACTCAAAAATATTTTTCGGAATTTATTTAAAACTTTTTGCCATCGTAAGTTAATTTTTACCATTTAATATTATCACAATTCACACATTAAGTGTTGTTATGAATGACTTCACCTATGTGACGCTGGCATATAAAAGTCAATAAAAATAAGTTACAAGTTTTCTTCTTAGTGTGAAACTTTTCAATTGACCAAGTGATTAGTAAGAATGAAAGACATCTGGCTACTATTTAAGTGAATAAACTAACTGAGATTTACAATGTAGGCTATGCCTACATAAATAAACAAGCCTACAAGTTACTATGATGGTACTGAAAAAGTGTTAGGAGTTACAACTATAGGAATAATGCTGTAAATGTCCTATTTTAAAAATATTATGCTAAACATATTGTCAGTTATTCGGTAATATTAAAAGTTTTTCAGATGTGTCTATGAAACCGTCTTAATTTAATTGGGGACCCGAAAAACTACTGTAGCTTTTCAAAGGAGATGAAAGTATTACAGAATGAAACAGAGAAGACGTAAAACTTAACAGAACTATTCAAGTATTGGTTTGTAGGGATTTGGTCGATTGGTTACAGGATTTCATCATGAGCTGACATTAGTTAGAGAACCATTGAAAAACCTGGGAGTACTGGACAGCTGTTTCGTCCTAGTTTGGGAATCTTCAGCAGTACGCATCCACCGGGATTCGAACCCAGGAACTTCTGGTTAAAAAGCGAGCTCGTATACCGTTAAGCCACTGGGACCTGATCAAATGGACCATGAATTCTAACTTCCGCCAATTCATGACATGGCGCGACTCCTAGCCAATGTCTTCGGCAAGTATTTGTCCTCACTCCCGACCTGCTGCACCCTATTGGCCACGACTTCTCACTAGAACCCCAGGTGAGCGTTTACTGCTGAAGAGTCTCAAACTAGGACGAAACAGTTGTCCAGTACTCCGTGCAGGTTTTCCAATAGTTCTCTAACCAATGTCAGCTCATGAAATCCTGTAAACAATTAACATAACTATGTATTAGTTGAAGTTTCAAGACTCCAAACCAGTACCCTCAGCTCATAGTCAAAAAGGGGAGTTTAGAGGTGCTTGGAGGAAAACAGAATAATAAGAAGCACTCGTAGACAGTCAATTACTTTTAAAAATATAATAATAATAGGGACAGCTTTATTCTAAAGCAATATATATGTAATGTGTAGAATTCTCAGCGGAGCTTATCGCATGATATTTTCTCTTCATCCATGATCTTCAAATAAAAGAATAATCGACAGTCGACCGTGTGACACAGTTCTGTCTGACCTGAAGCTCAGACCAATACATAATGATGTGTTTTCTTTTTCTCCTTCGAGAAATACACGACATTTGACTGTATTCCAATTATAAAAGGGTTTAGGAGTATATTTTGTGAACCAAGGACACCACTCAGGAACAGTCATCTCATGTATTGTGATAAGCTGCCATCGAGGATAATTCTTTTTCGCATATTTAGCAAACTTGCAAATCAGCAAGTCGTAAATGTTTGAAATACTCGCTAGAGTAAACAATACTATTAGAGATCATACTTTAAAAGATTTAAACAAACAGAACAGAAGAAACTATATGCACTATATTGACGGAGGTTTTCGGTAGCCCAAGTTTTAGACAGACCGCCGTGATAAAAGTATCGTTGAACTGATTTCAATGTAAGTGCATCTGTATATGTTCAGGATTGATTAGACCTAACAGACTTACCTTCTGACATTTCCAATTCAATGATAAATTATATAAATGAGCAGAAGGAATACCTATAACGGGACTAACTGATGAAATTATTGTGTCAACCAATAGTCAAACCGAAAATCCGGATACATATTATATTACATGAATGACACATTAAATATAACCAGATGAAATGATCTGGAAAGTAGTCACAAACTAATCATCAGTAGCATGTTTAACAACGTCAAATCCACAAGAGAATAGGAATTAGACAACAAAGTTCCTTTATCGGTAATTTTATTTGATAAAATGCATTACCTTGATATGCGATTATGAGCAATAAATTGCGGTCGAAGCGTCATCAGTACGGGATACTGTATCCCTGTGTGTTTTGCCACGTAAAATTATTCTACAATGCAGTTATCCTTTACCACAATGTCTAAATCCTCTTTTTTATATAAATAAAGTGCCTCACGTAGAATATGTTGGTCAAGATAACAAGTACAGGAATTCAGCAACTGAAGTATGCATAAAGCCAACCCGCAGAGACCAAATACCCAACAACAACAATAATAATAATCCAACGGAGGACAAAGGAAACTGTGTGAAGTATCATGACTTGATCCGCAGCATGTCTGACAAAATTCCTACATTAAATACTTATTTTAAAAGACTATAAATACCCAGACTAAAGATGTCTTGAATTTCCTGGAATAATTTCAGCACCGAGTCTGTTGAAATTAATATAGAATTATTTGAAATTGTTCAAAACAGCCTGTCTCCTGTCCCAACGAGAATAGTGAAGAAATATCTTCCAACAGTCTTCCATAAAAATGGATACCCTCACAATGGTATCAAAATGTATACACCCAGATCAAATCATAGACAAAAAATAGGCCTTGGAAGCTACGAAAAAATTATCCTACCACATATGAATAAAGATCACCGGTAGAATATACTGAAATCTTTTTAGAATAGGTACCAGTACCCACAAACCAATACAGTCGCTTTATTCAAAAGTATGTACACTCATCTACATGATAAATTGTATCATGTGCGAAAAACACTGTAATCACTAAAGTGGACATCTCTCTACTCTGCGTATCCACGAACATAGGCTGAATGCTGAAAGATATCACCTGTATTCTTTCCTACCAATTCGTGTAGACAACTATGGACACCAATGTGGACATTTCGAAAAGAGGAAAGACTACAAATGCCAGGAAATTAATAGCATTACTACTAGGGTGATCAATATGAGCCCATGTTGACACAGACTGTTCCTCGTTTTACGTAATGCATATATTAACACAAGATCAGATGAATATCTCTCACAAAAAACATGATTTATATTCCTGCAGTTCGCTGATGCTTTCGATCACTGTAGAGTAAATGATGTCTAGTCAATATTCAGTCACTATCACAATGAAAATCCATTTCTACAAGACTAACCCAATTGTCTATCGCTATAATTATTTGGATAAGGGATCACACTTTGTTTCAGAGTCTACTGGTAGTAATGTAAATGATAAAACAACAAAACTGTTATAAAATATCTTACCTCTAACATAGTAACTAAATGGAAGGAGTTATTATCAATTATATACAGTAAAAGTTTACTATTCTGACGAATTTCTAACTGTTTGCTTTCCAAATCTTCATGACAATTTAGAAAATCCTCGTTATTTCCAATGGATGGACAAACAGTCTTTTCTATTGCTCTATAGTGTGATAAATTCACTTTAGCCAACTTCGGCATTATTCTGTTATCCCACAAAAATTGACTATGTTTATTTTCTTCTGAAATTCCTGCAATGTATATATCTGTTTTTAAATCTACAGTATTCCGAGTATTGTTTAAATCCGGTTTTTTTAGTGGTGGCAGTGATGATGACGAACAAGTACTGGATTTAATCGATGCACAACGTGAATCACCATGCGAAGAAGTATCAGGCTGTATCAATAAACAGGAGGAAAAGAGAATTATAAAAGATGTTGCATATCAATAGAAGACAGAATCGAAAAATGTGGATTATGTATTCTTTTGGAATAGTGTAAAATTCTAATTATCTACATCTTCTGAATCTCGATTGGTTCCGCAGTCTCACGTTAAAAAAACTTACTTATAAATGCTATTTGTAGCCAAATCCAAAACCCGGGTACGGTATCTGATTTCAGTCAGAGTTTCCCAAATGTCCTCGAGCTAGGTCTTGGTTGTTCCACAACTTTTCCGACCAGAAACCTGTTTCATATGCTGGATTATCACAAGCTGACACCAAAATCTTCCGTCTCAAACAATACGATGTTCTCAAACCTCGTCTCGCACACTGATGGGGTGGGGGCCACGAGCCAACCATGAAACTCTGATACTTGAGCTACCTGCAGCTAAGTTGCCAGACGCCCAAAAATCTTTCGACATCGAAACACTTGTGTTCACTACAGACTACAGAGTAGAACACAACAGATAGATAAGAGTGACTATTAGTAAACTTGATAAGGTAATATGTGATGCCACAGTCGAATCGGACACATGGACGCTATAAAAGGACCAACTAAGAAGGTAAAACAATCACTAGCGGTTTGCAACAGGATATATTGCTGAAAAACTACATATATGTGATTGTACAGCTTGAGGATGATATCGCCGAAAAAAGTAACTCTTCACTGAACGTCTATTCTTTTATGACTCTTTATGACTCAAAGTTAAGGATCTCAATGAACGTTTAGATTTCGTTCCCAAGAGAATACTATATAATGTCCATTTAAAGGTTAACCATATAGCAAAGAATTGCGGTTCTCCAAGATCCTGTAAGATTGATGGTTGTGGTCGGAGACTCTGCACATTACTGCACCGAAGGCAAGTATTATCCGACGACACAAAAAATGATGTGCTCATCCACTCCCAACAATGCAGTGATGTGAATTTTAGCAAGACTATGCCAAGTGAGGTAGTAACAGGCCTAGCTAAGTATAAGGGTAAAATTGTTCAAACATGCACCTTTTTCGATAAGGGGTCAGATGCATTGATTGTCGCAGAGGATCTAGCGAGAGAATTCAGCTTAGAAGGAACAACAAAACCAATTTCTCTCAAGAAACTGGATTCATAGTCCACTTCGCCATGTAGGCAAGTACGACTGGGAGTTTCTCCGCTAGATTCCTCTACTCAAGTTGCTGTCTATTATTTCATTATGGCTTGATTGCACACAGTATTTTGGTATAAGTATGGAATTTTCAGGACGTGATATCGGTAGCCCAAATTTAGCAGGCCGACCATTGATATCAAGTGTGCGTCGGTCGCGGATTGAATCCCGAACCATATGCATGGTCGGCGAACGTCCTAACCACTGTGCCACCGACACACATGGACAGTAAAGGAATTACCCAAGTTGAGAAAAGTTGTGCCGATAAGAGGTTGGAAATCATCATGGAGCTACATACATGGCGTAGTCCCACCAGATATTAGGAATAAAGAGATTAAGATGCTTATTGGCTGTAATGTGCCAGAGGTACATGTGACGATTGATAAAAGGTTCAGTGGAGCTAATGAACCCTGTGCTATAAAAACTCCCTTAGGATGGACATTATTGGGACCATGCAATAAGATACTTGGAGAAAATAATTTGTTGAATTGTACTCCATCTACAGAAAAAATTGAGGTTATGTTCGAACAGTTTTATAAGAAGGAGTTTGACGACGCGAGTAGTCATGTACCCATGTCTGTTAAAGATCGTAGAACTCTCAGCATCATGTCTGAATCCATACAGTTGGTAAATGGACATTATCGAATAGCACCTCCATAGGGTCAACAAGGAGGATTACCCGATAATAGAAAAATGACAAGGAGTCGATTGAATTCGTTGAAGAAATGCCTATCCCAAGACTCAGCCTTGCACGAAAAGTATACCAAGGTAATGCCATAGTATATTGAAAAAGGTTTTGCTGAAATGATAGAGGAGGATCATGCTGGCGGACAGGTTTCATACTTGCCACATCACCCAGTATCCCATCCTAAGAAGCCAAATAAATTGAGGATAGTGGTTGACTGCGCGGCAGAGTACGCAGGAATGTCTCTGAATAAGGATCAATACTCTCGCCCAGATCTGGTAAACGGGTTGGTTGATGTTTTGTGAGATTTTGGCAGTGACCAATAGGCATCACTGCAGATAAAGAAGCAATGTTTTTTCAAATGATCGTTCCCATACATCATAGAAATGCTCTTAAATTCTTATGGTGGTCCGGGGGCGACATGGGAACAGAACAAACACTTTACAGAATCAAAATTGCATGTTTTCGGAGCAACTTCTTCGCCGAGTTGTGACGTTCGCTTTGCAAAGAACCATTTCGGACAACAATGATAAGTTTGTTAAGTGTGCTATTCAAATACCTAGAGAACTGTTCTATGTTGACGATCTGCTTATTAGTGTTAGCACATTAGACGAGGGTGAGCTGATTTATTCCCAGTTGAACAAATTCTAAGACTAGGAGACTCTAATCTAACTAAATGGATTAGTAACAACTGAGAATTAATGAATTTCATCCCTGAAGAAGATCACACCGAGAGAAACAACAGTATCTAAAGACAAAAACGAGAGAACTTTGAGCACAGAGTGGAATGTATCGAGTGATGGTATCTGCTCCAGAACGCTTGAATTTAGAGCAAGGCTGACTAGAAGAGCTCTTTTATCATATGTAGCTTCGACATTTGAGCCAGTTAGAATTATAGCGCCAATGCTATTGCCTGCTAAATTAATTCTGCAAGACACCTGTAGAAGGAGATAGCAGTGGGATGCAAACCTGCCTGAAGACTGTCTTGCCTCCTGAAATAACTGGTTATAAGAATACTAATTATTTGAACAAAATTCTGATTCCACGATGCATTATGCCTGCTTCATGTAAACCGTTAAATATTCAACTTCACTGTTTCGCCGAGACTTTAGAGTCTGCATACAGTGCTGTCACATATATCCGTCTCGAAGATGTTTTTCACCAAGTTTACTGCTCACTGTGTACAGGATATAAATGCTTCGAATAAACACACTATCTCCAGATACAGAATTCCTATTCACTGACGTGTCATTGACAGAGACCATATGTTTTATATGTAAATAGACTGATGACACCAAGCTGAATAAAGGGACATCAACTACACATATGTGAGAACTACTATTGAGATGCACGTTGTGTAGAATTTATTATCAATGAAATAAGCTACAGATAGAAGGATGGTATTGACATTGGATCTCCTTTCGGTGCCATCGTCTTATGGCCAGCCTAGAAAATGATCAACTGAAGTCAGCAGTCCAAGGTTTCCAATGGTATAAAAGGCATACAGACGAAATCTTTATTATGTGTGGTAATTATTGTGATTTGAATAATATGCTAAATGCATTTAATGGTCATCCTCCAGTGATAAAATTCACACTTGAAATGGAAAACAAGTTTAGCATTCCTCTTCTTGATGTGAAGTTATCAAAGAGGAGTGATGGAACTCTGAAGATATGAAGTTATAGAAAACTATCATGGAATGGTCCGCTGACAAAATTTCTACAGCTGGGTAGCTATTTTGGTCGAAAACGAAGCTTGGTTTGATCACTCGCGTTCGGTTCATATGTAGTCTTGATGCTGTTGAAGAAGACTTGAATCTTCTAAGAAGCATCCTCATCAAAAAGTGAATATCAGTCACGTCTTATAGACAAAATATACAGTTAAAACCTAATAAATATGACTTGACGTCTGTACTCAAGAAAATGTTACCTATCAACAATGAATTTAAAGGTGACTGAACTGCTGAAGTTCTTACAATCCCTAAAAAGGAAGTTAACTGCAGCATCAATGAGAGTATCGGCGATAGGCAACACTAGGCAACTCTTTAGACTCATCAGGGAAACGGGTAGGAGAAGGCAAATCATTAGTGAGACTATTTCTGGGAAAAATGGCTCCTTAATTAGCTCTCAGGATAGACGCCTTGAACGCTGGAAAGAACACTTTGAGGAACAATTTAACTACTTGCCTACAGCCACACTGAACCTCCCCGAAATCCACCCCACACCCGAATGGGATATAGAAACTGGTCCGCCGTCTGTAAGTGAGGTCACAAAAGCTATCTGTAATCTGAAATGAGGCAAAGCGGCAGGACCCGACGGAATTATTTCGGAGGTGTTTAAATATGGGGGTGACATACTATTATGTAGATTAACTAAGGTACTAGGCAAAGTCTGGGAATCAGAGACAGTGCCATCAGACTGGGGTAAGTCACTTATTATACCGATATTCAAGAAGGGAAACAAGTCCTCATGTGATGATCATAGGGGTATCAGCCTAACGAACATAGTCTCTAAAATCCTAGGCTCAGTAATCATGCATAGACTAAGCAGAACTCGGGAGGAACAAACGAGGGAAAATCAAGAAGGCTTTAGATCAGGTAGAGGGTGTATAGATCATATCTTCACTCTTCGACAGATTCTAGAACAAAGACACTTTTCGGCGTCCAACAATGACCCTATTTCTGGACTTGAAGGCGGCCTTCGACTCCGTGGATCAAAAGGTACTATGGCAATGTTCGAATGTGAAGGGAGTGCCAAGAAAGTATATTGCACTAATCAAGGCACTCTATTCAAACTCATGTAGCCGTGTAAAAGCTTATGGGGAATTGTCATCTGAATTAATAACAACCAGTGGTGTCCGGCAGGGATGTCCACTTTCTCATTTCTGTTTAACTTCATCACAGATATGCTAATGGAAGTAACCTTAACTGAACTTAACGACTTAGGTTAATATATGTGTAAAACTTGGGCACTGTGGTAGTAAATAATTCCATATTAGTTTGTTTATTAGATGTATCACACAGTGAAACAGTATTATTTACCGGATGACGTTTCGAACACAATTTATTGTTCATAATCATATCAGTTTGGATCACACGACTTTGAAATTTTAGTTTTACATTTTTTTATTGTCTTCTCCTATTTGTCGTAATGGTAGTAGAATTTTCCATATATCTGGGACAGGTGTTGAATCATTTCTATTACATGTATTTGCAGTTGATTCGATAAACAAAGCTTCTGTTACCAATCTCTCCCTATACCCTGTGACATTAGATTTTAAAACTGTCATCCTATTCGATCCTATTGTATGGTTGTGTGTGACTGCATGTAGTGCTATAGCTAAACTATTCTCTAGATTTCTTATCTTTGTCGGGTCAAACAATCTAGATTTAGCTAGGTTTTTATGTTCGGCTAGTCTGACTGCCCTTGTTCTACTAGTCTGACTAGTATTTGACCTCACAATCATCACGAGCGGGGTATTAGATAAACTAAATTGTTTTGTTTTATTGGCTCCACAGGATCCTTTAACCGACAAAGCTTGACTCTAATTGAGTTTGTGGGTTTGAATGCTACTTTTATTCCTGCCTTGTTAATAATTCTGCGTAAGGCCTCCGAGGTTTCTTCCTTGTATGGAATTACTGTTGATGATTTAGATTCCTTATTGTTGGTGTCGTCATTAATATTATTATTATCACTATTATTATTACCATTATTATTACAATTATCATTATTGTTATTATTATTATAACTATCGCTATTATCATTATTTATTTTATTTACTTACTTACTTTTACTTACATATTTCTTCACTAATTTATCCGGGTAATTATTCAGTTTCAAGTCTTCTTTTATGTGTATCACTTTCTGTCTTAGATTTTCCTTGGTACTACTTAGTTTTTGTGCTCTGTCATTTAAACATTTCACTAATCCTATTTTAACCGACATAGGATGGGATGATCGGAATTCTAAATATCTGTTTGAGCGTGTGGGTTTTCTGTAAACACTAGTGTTTAACTTCCCATCTTCTTTCCTTTTTACGTTGCAATCTAACATTGGAAGTTCCCCCTTCCTGACTTTCCAATTCATAAGTGAATTGAATGGCCTCTACCTTCGAGTTGATGTGTTCGAAAAATCTATCTATATCTTGTGTTTGAAGTACAGTGAATGTGTCATCTACATACCTCCACCATAGCACTACATGCAGTCACACACAACCATACAATAGGATCGAATAGGATGACAGTTTTAAAATCTAATGTCACAGGGTATAGGGAGAGATTGGTAACAGAAGCTTTGTTTATCGAATCAACTGCAAATACATGTAATAGAAATGATTCAACACCTGTCCCAGATATATGGAAAATTCTACTACCATTACGACAAATAGGAGAAGACAATAAAAAAATGTAAAACTAAAATTTCAAAGTCGTGTGATCCAAACTGATATGATTATGAACAATAAATTGTGTTCGAAACGTCATCCGGTAAATAATACTGTTTCACTGTGTGATACATCTAATAAACAAACTAATATGGAATTAACGACTTAGGAATCGACTTGTTACCAGGGAATAGTCTTATGGACTTAGAATATGCAGATGACATAGTCCTGTTAGGGGAGGATGCTGACAAAATGCAGAGTCTTTTGAACACTTTGAGTAGCAATCTTCGTATGCTTCGCATGACTTTCGCCCCTGCAAAATGTAAGATACTGCTACAGGACTGGACTAAGTCAACTCATACCCTAGTGATAGGGAGTGAAGTGATAGAATATGTTGACCACTTTATCTATTTGAGAAGTTGTATCAGCTCAAACGGACTGATTGGCGACGAAATCTCAGAGCTTAGGTCCCGATTATGTACCTAGTATTATTTTTTTTAAATGTTCTGATATTCTGTGTCACCCCCTTACTGATCTATTTAACAAATCTTTTTCCGATAATATTGTGCCTGCCGTTTGGAAGGACATTAAAGTTGTACCCATACCTAAATCATCCACTGGAGCATGTGTCAAATTTAGACCCATTGCTATTACCTCTCCTTTTTTGAAAACTATGGAGAAATTACTTTTACTTAGTCTTGTACCTTCGCTTAAATCCTTTAATGACCCTAAACAATTCGCCTATAAGCACAGTAGAAGCACTTTAGATGCAGCTGCCGTCTTATATCATAACATTGCTTCCAGTCTAGACAAGGGGGCTAAATTTGTTCGTTGCGCCTTCCTAGACTATACATCTGCTTTCGACTCGGTCCCTAGGGACATCTTATTAAATAAACTTGCAGCTAGTCAAACAGAATGTTGGGCTGTTAACTGGTTACATTCCTATTTCTCAGATAGAAAGCAGTACACCGTATATAAAGGGAAGTCTTCCACTTCATTGCCTACTGAAGCTGGTGTCCCTCAAGGTGCTGTTCTTTCTCCTTTTCTTTTTTCTTTCTTCTTGCACGACTTGCCTCACTCTGATGAAATAAACTTTGTGAAGTATGCTGATGATTTAACGGTTTCAATGGCTGTTAACTCCCAGCTAGATTGTACTAAAATAAATAGCTTTCTATCGGAAGTCAGCAAATGGTCTGAGTCTAACGGTCTTAAACTGAATCCTTCTAAGTGTCAAACTGTTGATTTCAGCTTAAGATGTAAACGACAGTTAAAAGAAGTCATCGATTCTCATGACACTTGTAAAATTGACGACAATGATATAGGAATCAAATCAGAAATTAAGTATCTTGGACTCATTCTCTCTTCTGATCTCTCCTGGTCTTCCCATGTCTTAGCAATCTCCAGTAAAATATTCCGCCTGACATTTTACATTAAGAAGTTAAGACACTCGGGTATAACTCAACCCTTCCTCTTACAGTTCATAAACTCTTGCATCCTACCTATTCTTCTTTATTGTTCACCCTTATTCTTTCCTGGTTTGCTTAAAAAGGACTATGTCACAATTCGTAGAATACTGAAGACTGTCAGTAGGGTGAGTGGTGTCCCAGTGGACCACATAGTTAACGTCGTTGTCGATAGGCACTTGACTTCGTGCAATAAATTTGCTAAAGGGATTTTGTCTGACTTGGAGCATCCGCTTTACCCTCAGCTTTCACCTTGCATCTCCTCAGGTAGAACAAGGAGTAACTTCAGAAAACTGTATGCTCGCACGTCTAAGTATAGAAATTCTATGATACCATACTTGGCACGTATTTTATGTGATGAAAATAGTGTCAGGCAAGAATTAACTAACCTTTTTTCATCTAGTAAATAAACAATTTCCTCCATCCATCCTTATATACCTTCAAGTTTTACTTTTATTATTTCTATTATATTTATGGTCCTGTTGCTTCTTTGTTTGTTTTACTCTCATAATTGCAAACACCAACTTATCTCCATGACGGCTGTAATCTTTGTTTTTCCCCTCACCATATCATGTAAAGAGAACATTATATTCAATATTTTTAAACATGTTAGGATTTCTATACCACATTGCCAATACTGTGTGACACAAGCCAACGGCAATTTTCACTTGTATTCTTATTATTATTACCCTAGCTGTTATCATTATTATTGCTATTTCCATTTTATATGCTGCATGTTTTTGACACTACCTCTATTGTAAATGTGGAAAATTTTCTGTGTGATTAATTTTTATTTATAATTTGAGGAAATTAGATGCAATATTGTGATTAATGCTGAAAATTCCATTCTGTATCACAAGTACTGTTTTTGGAATAAAGCAAATCCTTATTATTATTATTATTATTAAAAGCTCGAGCTACTTTCGCTGACTTACACCATCTCTGGAGTAGGCGTGACATCCGGCTGTCAACCAAAGGACGTGTGTACTGCTCAGCAGTTCGCTCAGTCCTTCTCTACGGCTCTGAAACATGGCCTATACGAGTTGAAGACATGAAAAGGTTGACTGCTTTCGATTATAGATGTCTGTGATCTCTGTCTCACGTTAGGTGGTTTAATAAGGTAAGTAATGTTGACGTTAGGCGTAGAGTATTGGGCAAACAGGGAAAATCAATCGACGAGGCTATAAAGTTACACAGATTGAGATGGCTAGGTCACGTGCTGCGCATGCCTAACCATCGCCTCCCCCGACGGGCATTACTAGCTAATATAGATAAGTGCAGGTTGGAAAAGGGTAAGTGGTGGCCAAACAAAAACATGGCCTCATCAATCCATGAAATCCTCGACAGTTAAACTGAGTCGGTCAGGTAGGGAGATGCAGACTTCCGGGTTGGGGCCCTCGAGACTCCAAGAATCAATGGCTGGAGACAATAGGTGACATGGCTCAAAATCGTTGTCAATGGTGCAGATGTATTCAGTCTCTGTAATCTTTCACATTCCTTTCTACCATTACTCATTCTGTTTCACTCTTATACTTGTCAGACTATTGATTCTCTTCACTCATCTTCTTGTCTACCTTTGTGTGCTATTTGGAACGTGGCAACTGGAACTGCTGCACTTCGGCGCCAAGTTCTATGTTGAATCCAGACAGACAGACAGATCAATGAAAGTAGTGTTTTGCTGGTCGGCTGTTACTGTTCAATAACCTGTAGCATAAGATCCTTCATCTGTTCCTATATTGGTCGTTATCATATCGGTTTATGGATTTGCCTGATTAGTTACCTGTTTCGATCAGTAAGAGTATCTGTAAGCGATCCATTAGTTGACATTCAAAAGAATAAAGTATATGAGATTACCTGAGAAAAGGAGTATAATAATCTTTCATCGAATTGAGATTCCATTAAATCAATAAGTGAATTCGATTCTCCTGACTTCACTAATCGTTTGTTAGAAAGACAAGATTCAGACGTTTCAGAATTATTCAATAATTTGGATGTAAGGTATACATTGAAATTAGAAAGTAATGCAGGTGATTTTCGGTTCAATACATGCTCAGCATACAGGGAATATAACAGATCCAAACGGTCAGCCTTATTCCAGTATTTGACAAAATCTCTGTCATCTGTTAATTCTATATTTAAGGATTGAAAACCTTGGCGTACCTTAACCGTGTAGAAAAACAAATAAATATTGTTGATATTTAAAATATATCAAATGAAAAAGCATGTATACACTTTGAAGTATGAAATCTAAAGTATTAGAAAAAAAAGGTTACAAAGCTGTTCGCATACTACACATAAATGACGCTTGCAATACACACAACCAACAGAGCGAACTTGTATCATTTTAAACACGAGATGATAATAATAATAAATCATGGCAGTAAAAAAAAATACCCGCCTACACAATTAAGAGACACCCTAACTAGTTTACTGCAGACTTCCTAGTTGTAATTTAATAGTAGTGATAATAATAACAATAACAATATACCCGTATTCCCCACCCCAAAAAAAAATCACTCGAAGATTATTTTCTCTCTGTGTACAAGAATAAGGCGAGAATTTCTATTGATTTTACTTCACAGTATATCTACAAATTCACCTGCAGTTGCATGCAGTAACACATCTACAGGTGCATGTAGTATAAAAATGCAAGTCTTTTGAAAGAAGCGATCGTAAAATCAATAATTGATGACGATTCCCCAATTATAATCACATACGCTAACTATAGTGATAGAAGTATTTTGAATTAACTAAATAATGCACCCTAGACTATGTGTACAAAAAACAACACATTTTAGCCTTCGCCTACTATAGACTACTTGATTAATATGTCCTTTTATCTTATGTAAGTAATTAATTGCTACGCATTTTATTTTAATCAATCATTCTGGTTGTAGTGGGATTGTACAGAAACTACGACATGACATCATCTCGTGATACTCTGTCCGAACTGCAATAGTGAATGCATGTGTGGAGATCTTTTCCGTCGAACATGACAAAAACAAGTGACATAAAATGCAACAGAGTTGAGGGCGCGTTTCTGCCCTCCTATAGACCAGCGAATTCATAAGAACTACTCACAAACTTTCTTGACACATATATGGTACTTCTTGTGTCTCAGAGATACAACATACAGTGAAACTGCCAGAGGCCAAGATCTCGGCTAGTGATCTGGCACAAGCTGAAAGCCCTAATATAAAGTTTGCTGATGATTTTAGCCTAGTCTATTAAAATCACTCCTTAATCATCACAGAGTCAAGCGAAGATGAAAAAGCGCTATAAAGAATAATATTAGCAATTGGAGAAGGTAAAGTTTTAGTAAACAGACAATATATAACGGGTAAAGGATGAAAAGAACCTCTTGACTCTATGAAAATTCCCCACACCACGAAAACTGATTTCTTCTTAGAGTATCTTAAAGAGAAAAAGGATGAGTTTTATTTGGCTGCAGAGCCCAAGGAGGCAACTATTTGAGGCCACTCATACATGGTATCATCTGCACATAGGTTACAAACCTTCAACGGTACATATAATCTTGCCACAGCCTAGGAATAGCCTGCACAATTTCAGCAAACATACGTTTCTAACCCTCGTCTTGTAAAGGGGAACAGCTTACCCGCTGATACACTTTTATGTGTCAACAGCATAACGTCAATCTACGACAACCTAAGCGACCTAAACTAAAAGCAGTTAACATCTCTGTACAATTGCTATCTAACCGACCTTTCTGGCATGGCAGAGCCTGCAGAAACATTTTTCAGCCAATATAGTTCACTCACGACTACGACTTCAGAATAGCTATCTTTCTTTCAGTCAGGACTGACATCATTCAAATAAATTCGAGTGAGAAGTACATAAATTCTAAATTAGAATGTAATGAGAGAGAGACCCGGCCGACAACTGCTACCTTGTCGTGGTGGTCGGGCTTGAATACCGCAGTGATCCAACATGCTAAACTGACTGGGACTCTGTCCCTGCAGGTCCTACCATGTCAGGAAGGTTGTTTGGATAGCGGTCAGACTAAAAGCAGTTACCATGGCGTGCATGGGCTCCAGAAGCCAATCGGATCAAATGGCGTATGAACCCATATTGGTCACCGCCAACTATGGGAATGCAGCTCCTGACGCTGCTCCGCTGCCTTGTGGATTAGACTCCAAGTCAAATGCTCAGGGGGTGGTCCCTTAAGAAAACCACCTGCTTCGGTCTGGGCGCTCGGGCAGTATTTCAGCCCCCACACAACAAATGAAATTTAGTGTGGCGCATCTTTCTTGGTGCCATACTGTACCAAGATTTTTCTGCGTTTAAATAAATAAAATAATGAGAGAGAAAAAAGGGACTTAATTTGATTAACTGACAAAGAGAAATACACATTCCTTCGAGATTTATAATACACTAAGGAAATATTGGGAGTTGCATTTTGAAAAAAAAACGGGTAAATACATGATAAATGAAACAATCTTTCATTCAGTTTACTTGTCACTAGTACACTACTTCTAATATTGTTTTCGTTCCAAGGCAAAAACAAAGTAGCTTTATTGATGAAAACTAGGCCTAAGAGAAAATACGTGTCATGCATATTGACATAATAAATAATAATAAATTTAAAATCATGCCAACATAACATCATACTTGCTCGTAAACAAATTGACTGTCGGCTGACTTGGGAATCGTTCCAATTATTCGGCGAAGTACACGAGATACGTATCTAAAATAAAATGAACAGTCAGACAAAAACAAGTAAGCATTTTTTTAGAATAATCAGTTTACAGTTGGCATGTGTGTGTGTGTGACAGCTCAACAAAACAATAAACACCACTAGTAATCTATAACAAAAACTTCTTAATAACGAAGCAGACCTCATTACGAACCCACAAAAGCTCAGCTAATTGGAACTTAATAATCTGAAACAGATTTTTCATACACCAGGTTATCAGCCAACACATAGTGTAAGTGGTGATATTATTACGTAGTCACTCAAACTGAAGTATATGGAACAGCATCCGAGACATAAGACCCACTGGTTAATAGTCAAGTGTTAAAGCCAATGAAACACACCTCCAATGATAGGAACTAGAAAATCATTGAAAATCAAGATGGAGAGAAATAACACTTATGTTTTTAGCAGAGGTCACTCATGACTCAGTAAAATAGTTGAGCTCAGAACCACCAGAACGCATAGAGGGTATGTTACGTGTTTGCATGCTACCACACTAGCTAGTCAAGAATGATCAGCATAGTTTAATCGAGAAAATTTGTGAATAAAATAGACACAGAAGCAGCCGATGATAACCGATGAAATAAAATGGATTCAGATTATTCTGTGCCAATAATGTTTCTTCTTTCTTTGTTCATATTTTTACAGTCACAAACCGATCTTTATCTTGCGCTATAACACCACTTAATCAAGTGCATGATACTTGGGTGGAAAGTTTAGATCGTGTGTAGGTGTTCAAATATATGGGTAAGGTATTTGTTCCCGGTACTTCCTACTTCTCATATCAATATCACTTAAGTGTAACACAGAATATTTACAGGTTTTATGCAAAAAAACAAGTAGTTTATATAATATACAGCAAAAATAGAATATATTTTAAAAACTCAAAAAAGGTTTCTAAAACAGAGGACAAGAAATCCCACATCAAGTATGTTTTCAATTATTCAAAACATCTTTAAGTTATTAAGACGTTGGTTTTTTATTCGTACCGAATAATTAATCCAGATTACTTTGTGTGTAGCAGAAAACAAAGCATTGAAATACGCCAAATCAACTGTATTGTGAGAATGAAGCCTTAAAAGAAAAACTACCATTGTAAATTTCTGTATTTCAATGAAAATATTAACACTAAGGGATATCAGACTACAGCAAAATCATGCTCTAATAGAATAAATACTAATTAAGTTTGTAATAAGTTGCATATAAGTCTGCTTTATATAAATCATTGTTAATTAAAACAATCTAATGCTTCTAGTTGTTCGAAACACGAGATGTAACCGTGTTCTCTGAGGTGGCTGATACTGTGCTACTCAGAAACCGCATAATAAGTATATGTACTAGGGTAAACCACCCATACTGTTTTGGTGCTTATCATTATCGGATGGTGCAGACAGAAAAAAGTGAAATCACGACCCATAAATTGGTCCGGTCGCTTGCCACTCGTATTCGACGCATATGTAGCACTGATACTGTGGAAGATGAGTTATACACTTTAAGGAAAATCCTAATGGAAAATGGATTTCCACCACGTTTTATAGATAAGAATATACATTCAAAGCCTACAAAACGTGACTTATCAACCGCTCCCAAGAAAATACTTTACATGAGCTTAGAATTCAAAGAGGACTTAGCTTCCGATATCATGAAACGAAGGATATCACAGTCCCTGAAAAGAACATTCCCTGCTGCCTCTCTGAGAATAGCTTTTACTAGCCGACCATTATTGTTCAATAACGTGAAGGACAAGATCCCAATGTTGACCAACTCTATGTGCGCTTATCAATTCACCTGCTCTTGTGGAGCTAGGTATATCGGTCGTTCGACTCGAGTTTTGTCCAAGAGGGTGCAAGAACATTATGCTGCATGGCTACGAAAAGGTGGAAGTGGAGCAATAAGAAGCGCGATCATAGAACATCTGGTCGATAATGATCACCCTATCTCTATAGCCTCCGCCTTTAAAGTCATCTACAAGGCAAAGAGCAATCTACCCAAATCCCTACGTACCCGACTCATCTGTATTGCTGAAGCTTTGGCTATCGAAACAGAAAAGCCAGATCTCTGCGTACAGAAAAAGTTCGTTCAACCCCTCCAACTTTCATGGTCTTAATCCCTCTATGCTAAAATATGATAATCCCCAATCATATTTTAGCTCTACCAATTTTTCATTTTTCATTTTGTCTATTCAATTTGTATACTCTTCCTTATTAAGTCAATTGTTATTATTACTATTCTCACTTTGAACTGTCCCCGGTATTATTTCACTTGTTCCACTTGTCATTCTAAATCAATCGTTCTTTTTACAACGATAAATTCCATGCTATTAAATTTCACATAATATTACGTAACATTTTTGTTTTATTCGATTTGTCTACTAATCCTATAATTGCACATCCTTTTTAAAGTTCTATCTCTCCTATGAATTATTCTATATATGACATTAATCTGCTTTGCCACTTGACATTTAACTACGATTGTAATCACAAACATTTTAGTTTTAATTGAACTTCATATGATTATTATTATTTTATGCATTCACACCTAAGATTCAATTCCCTCACCGGATATAACTTCTGAAAAAACCATATATATACGACTGTACAGCTTGATGATAAATTCGTTGAAAAGAGTCTCTTCGCTGAATCACTTGTTTTGATTTTCCATAAATTATAAGCCAAGTGAAGGTCATAACTGCGCAATGTGAGAACATGTCCACTACTCTCAGGTTTACCAATGATTCTCTAACCGATGTCAAGTCACAATGAAATCCTCCAACCAGTCAAACAAAATTCCTACAAAGCTAATATTTGAAGATTCATATGATGCTCACTATTGACTAGTCATATTCACGCAGTTAACCTGGGGTTTTAGTAGGAAGCCGTGACCAGTAGGGTACAGCAGGTCGAAGGTGAAGCGGTAACTCATCGAAGAAGACATTGTGAAGTGGTCATGTTATGCCATGAGTCGGCATGGCCCAATGGATCATGTTCCAGTGGCTTAATGGTCTACGAGCTCACCTTGTAACCAGAGCGTCCTGGGTTCGTACTGATGAAGAGTCCCAAACTAGGACGAAACAGCTGTCCAGTACTCCATGAAAGCTCTCCAATGGTTCTTTAACTGATGTCAGCTCATGATGAAATCCTCCAACCAATCAAACAAAATCCCTATAAAACCAACACTTGAGAACATATATTACCCTTAAAAAATTGTACGGCTTCGTGGAAACTAACACGTGTGACACGTATCTACCACTTAAGAACCAAGCTTCATACTCAGCTTCTCAGAACCAGGGGGAAATATGAGCAGAAAATGTAACCTAGAGAACTAAAGCAATCCCTGCCATATTTGAATAAGCAAGGATGTTTTAAAGAAAAAGCTGTAGTTGAACATGCAAAATAAAACCATTGTGCCACTGTGGAATTAAAACTAATGGACAGTAATTATTGTGTATAGCAAATCTTGATAACTTTGTAAAAATCTAACGAATTTTACAAACACATAAAATTGAAAGAAAAAAAAGCGCTTACTGTATTTTATCAATTGATTTTTTCTCTTCATGAGTCAAATTCCCTGACGATTTAAACCTCTTGATATAAAATTCAATGGAGGAAATAAAATAATTCAAATAATTCTTCATTTTTTTCAAAACAAAACAGAAAACAATAGTAGCTTTTATTACCACAATGCTTACAATTTGCACTGACTCTTTATAATTGCATAAACCTCAATACTAATCACCTTTTGACTGAAGGGACATTTATTGGCAAGTTGGTACGTATCTCCGATAAGAAACAATCAACTGCATGACGATTTAGAACTACTTAAATTCTCTCCACTCGCTTAACTCGTTTTTATTTTCAGACACTGGAGTAATGTGCAGCATCTGAGATGATTTGTCATTATTTTTTTACGAGTTGATCACGGATTGATATCAGTTAGAGAACCATTGAAAACCAGGGAGTACTGGACAGCTGCTGTTTCATCCTAGTTTGGGAATCATCGGCAGTACTGCCGATTTTCAATGGTGTTAATGGTTCTCTAAATGATATCAATCCGTGATCAACTCGTGAAAACATAACTAATCCTTACAAACCAAAACTATAGAAAATTATTTTTTTAATTGGCAATAAACTTTTCTACGGCTAAATAACTGTGGAGAGTAGTTTAAAAGCTACAACTCCACACAACTAATAACAGATCCTACTCATCCATCATCATATATTAAAATCAATAATCAACGATAACACATAAAACTCAAGTACAAGGTTGAAGAAAAAAGCTGACAGTAAGTAATGCTATGTGAGACGTATAAATAAACCATATTAGGGTTGTACTTTTTTGGAATTCCTTGTGTTTTAAATAGCAAAAGAAAACCTAACATCAATTGAATGATCGTCGAGAGACTAAATAGTATAAATAACTTCTTTTTGTTTGTTGTTGTATGATGCTGCTACTGAGTTTTAACACCTAAAACTGACCAATTAACGTCTGTAGAAAAAAACAAATGGATGACAAACACCAATTTGAGCCTAAATGAAGTACTGAGTTGTTATATGTTTATGCAATCAGTCATGAAGTTGGTGGGTGAAAACAAATTCCACATATTTTGTAGATTCCATTTAAGATGTAACACATTGCCAGATGAAAAGCATATGAATATTCGAACAAATAACCTCAGGAAAAGCTGAGCACTACAAAAAAACACGTGATTTTCAAGGGTTAGTTGTATCAGCATTCCAATGTGTCATGAGTACACCTATAATGTTGGATGTTACTTCCTATACCTGAAATTTCTCCGTAATTAGTCCTCTGGTTAATCTTTCATTTAGCATGAATGATTAACCAACTTATCAACGTGAAACTACACAAAATGGCATCAGTCTCAGTTGCTACATTTCAGAGAAGCATACAATAGGAGAAAACTGTAGTGAAACTACAAAAGGAAATGTATTGGACAGAGAATAATTAGAATAAGATTGGAGGAGATTTTCAGATTCTTGACAGCATCAGGGATTAAATATATCTGACCTATTTTGAACGAATAAACCATATCATTGAGTTCTCAACAACTGATTCATAGCATCCTGAAGACAGGCAATCTGTACCAACATCTTTTGTGGCTCAGACCAACAATCGGTGAATCTATGGGTGCCACGTTTAAGTCTGACTACTTCTAAACCTTACCCAACATACCGCTTGCTTTAGTAAACATTACCCGTCAAGAGACACGTTACATCGAAATGCATAAGACATGCCCCGCCCGTCTGAATCTTTGTAACCTCACATCATCGACTAATCTCCTCCTTACCTAACATAAGCATAAGCTCATTATGACCTATCTTGGTGTACTTAACGCAAGAGACTGGTCAAAGATATCTATGACTAAGTGCCTCTAGTCTCTTTACACCGTCTACATTCACTGTCCATATATCACACGGGTAGATTCGGACAGAACGGACTACCGCACAGTACACACACCATTCGATAGATAATAGGATACCTTACCTACATCAAAGTCGAAAAATATAGTGTAACTGGTCCATAAGGACTCCAATAACGTGAAATGATAAACACAACCACCTTACTCCCTATCCCTAGCAAACACTAACTCGGTGACTGGCATTTCTTAAGAGACAAGGGTATCGAAAGTCAACTACACATGTATAGAAAAGTTTAAAATGCAAACTGAAGCAGCTTGAAAATTTACCTACCATCCGGAAATGAATAACAACTTAGCCCACTAGTTTTAAAATGCCAAAATACTATCACTTAAAGTAGGAGAAATAAGAATATCCAGATGAAATTTCTTCAACTGTTTAAACAGCAGTAGACAAACCTTAGGTTGAGGTCTCAAATGAGTTTTCAAAAGACAAAGAAAACTGAATTTATCAACTGTTTGTTTATCTAAGATATTAGGAAGAGATTTGTGTAGGAATGTTAGACATGAATAACAGAGTTCTTAAAACCTCAATCATTATTGTATGAAGCTTTGAATTTCGACAACAGCAAGTCACGGAGAATTAGAACAGACTCAGCACAAACACGTGACGCATTGACTATATCATCGCAGAGTTTATTAAATTCATTGTAAGGAAACCGATACACACATCAATTAAGTAAGGCTGAACAAGGAAAACTTACCAAATGGCTATTACGGACCGCATGATTCACAGCAGTTTCAACATCTGAAAAACATGGAATCCTGAGACGCTTGATTGTTTGCAGAAAATAATTCATAGCTTCCTCTAGATAATAGTATTCTCTAAAAAGATAAATAAAAGGTGAAACGAATCAAATTAATAGGTGGGACACTTTAACTCGCTAGAATACAAAAACCTATACAGTAAATATCAGTAACTAAAATTATGCAGTGCAGTATTTGTGAATAGTAAGATGTGAATAAAGAATGCAGGGAAATTCTTCGAGTAATAACTGAGATTATAACGATGACTATCGGTACAGGTTACACAACTTTAATTATTATTATTATTACCTTATCCTTTAATTCCTAGAGTAACATAGGGCTTCAGCCAAACGTCTCCATTGAGTTCGGTCTTCTGCCAACTTTTTCACCCCGCTCCAAGTCTGCCCACATGCTTTCATCTCCTCTTCACGTGACCTCCTCCATGTCACCCTCACACTGACGACCAACTCGCCGCTTCCCTTTCGGGTTCCACTCGAGCAATGGCTTGTTTAGTGATGTCACTTTATGGTTTCCTCAGCGTATGACTAGCCAATCCATCTCCATTTCTTCCTGCCTATTTGTTTCACAATCGGTTCCTGCTGTGTTGGTTCGCTCATTGCAAGAGATCCCTGTTGCTGACCTTTTCTGGCCAGCCATCTGATCTTGGGTATTGAGCGAATACAACTGTTAATGAAGGTCTGAAGTTTGTTTGAGATGCTCTTTATGACGCACCAACTTCAATAATTCATGAAAAAAGCTTTAACCACAAAGTGAAAATTCTCAAGGTTTCGAGGCCAGCCTATAATATGAAATTTTTCTTAGCCATTCATTTTTCATGAAGGATGTAAATCTAAAATTGTGCATATGGTCATTCATTTGCATACTGCATTTTTCAAGTAAACAATTAGCTAATAAATAAATAGCTCTGAAATCAATCTAACGTAGAACACAATGTCTGATAACCCTAAAAATAAGATACTCTTATGAAACTCAATTACCTGACACGCATTTCTAGCCATAATTATTGTGTAATGGCTAGTGCAATTGCTCGGTAGTTAAGAACAAAGTGCGGGAACAATTGTTTGAATCTACTACCTATTATTTGAAGACCGAGTGTGTACATCGAATAATTACACCTGACCCTGCATAGTAGTTAACACACATAGACTACTAGAGGAGGAAAACGTAAAATGTCTAGTTTACAACAAATGAATAGACAGGAGAGAGAAAAGTACGTGCGAAGGTTGTAGAGAAAGATAATTAATTATTGGAAATACACTTCGCCTCCACAAACTTAAGCCATATGTCAACTCCTACCCGACACTGAAAGCAATCAAATGTTTTGATGTGTTAGTGAAAATTGAAGATCCCCCATAAAAATGTAAACCACTTTTTCCTTTCATTGTTTCGCAAGGTAATCAGATTTGAAGGTGTTTAAGCGTAAGAGTAGTTTACAGTGACACGGAGAATATTTTACTGGCAGATAAATAAAGTACATATGATGTATGTCCGACTCTAAATCCAGTGTTTACCGAAATGTTGTTTGTTAAAACTTTGTCACAAGTCTCACGTATCAATCTGTATAATTTCGACTTGGAATTAGGATTAAATTACTCTTGCTACGCGACACAATTATCAAGTGCTGGTTTGAAGGGATCTGATTGGTTACAGGTTTGGTCAGGGGTTGACATCATTCAGATAATCATTAGAAAAACTGGGACAACTAGACATATATATATACATCCCAAATAGATAGAATTTGTAATTCATGGGTCACCAAATCGGGTCCCAGTGACTGAATGGTCTACGGGCTCTCCATGTAACCCAGAAGGTCATGGGTTGAAACCCCGGTGGGTGCGTACTATTGAAGAGTTCAAAAACCTGGACGAAACAGCCAACTAATATTCCCACACTTCCCAATGGTTCTCTAACTGATGTCAACTCATGATCAATCCTCTAACGGTACACAGTTGACGTTAAATTTAGTTTCAACAAGTATACATATGTTCATAATAGTTTCCCTAGTATTTCCCCCCATTTTCGATGTTTTTATTTATTTTTATTTTTTTTAATTTTTTGATTGACAGCTTGATTCCACACTGTATTTTTAGTACAAGTATGGAATTTTCAGCATGGATATCGGTAGCCCAAAATTCGCAGGCCGACCATAGATATCAGGTGTGCGTCGGCGTGGGCTCGAACCCCGGACCATGTGCATGGTCGGCGAGAGTACTAACCACTGTGCCATCTATCTGTATTCCCTATTATTATTTCCCGATATTAGCACACCTATTCTTTCTAAGAATCTCACCATTTTTTTTGAGAAGACATTCAGTCGCTTAATCAATTCAGGATAGAAACATAAAATTTTCAAATAGGAGGAAATATCCAACAATAAAATCTTAAATGTGTGCATCACAAACCTTTAGCGAATAATACAGGTAAGAATTATAAAGGCAAATAATAACTCTGTGATTTGACGTAAACCCAAACAAAATGGAAACTGATCAGTCAATTTATGAAGAATGAGACTACGATAAATGTAAACATCTGTTAAGTATATATATATATATATATATATATATATATATATATATATATATATATATATATATATATATATATTCATCTTTGTTGTGTTAATCTTCAGTAGCTGGTGTAGGTTAAGGTGGTAAATCTATCTCATCTAAACAGCAGATGAGCGAAACCAACTTCATAATAAAGCACAAGATCATGATGAGATTTCACTTGCAGAAGCCATCACTTACAAATTTGATCTGAGGTCCGTGACTAAATGACCAATTAGTCGCTAGTTGTTTCGGAAAATAAGAAATATATGAGATTAGATTTCTAAACAAGCCTCTACAAGACTATTAAGATTCAAGTATTGGTTTTTGTAGGGATTTTTGTTTTGATTGCATGGAGGATTTAATCACTCGCCTGTTCATCTACTACACCAATAATTGCAATTATAACATCGAAATGCAAAGAATATGAAAATAAAAAACAGTAGACTCACAACTTATCAATACTTTCACCAGCTATTAAAAGAGGACCAGTATCTTCAAATTTGGATACTGTTACTACCAAAGGCTTTCTTTGGGAAGCAAGATAAATAACTTCCAGCAGACTAACTAGCCCTCTCGTCTTCCAGTTTTCGAAAACAAATAACAGTATGTCAGATGAAAACTTGGCATTTTTTTCCAATTTTATAAGCTCTGGTGACCATACATCAACTTGCTAGATAAATAAGAAACAATGACTAAAGATTAGAAGAGGAAGGAATTATTAGTCAACGATCAATTATATATGTATATGCGTCCTAATGAAAAAGTAGGCAGTTGTATACAATACACTTTATATCAGCTGAATCAGAAATCGAAAAAAACAAATTTGGCAATAACGGTTAGTAAGAAAAAGAAACGAGATGAGGGGGGGGGAACCCATAGCTACACCATCAGTTTGTCTGCAATACTCCTTATGGAATAAGAAATGAACATTCACTGTACATCTTAAAATAAGTTCCTTCAAGGAGGATACAAAAATACCGATGTCTATGTTTCGCGTAGTAATCTCATCACATATAAAATCCACTGTCTCCATTAACGGTGCATTTGTGAACAAGGAGGATACATCAAAATACATCTGAATTCGCCTCATATATGTGTATCTACCAGTTTGACTGCAGCTGCGGAGCCAGCTACATCAGGCGTACAATTAGGCAGATTCATCCTCGTATTTCCGAACATCGCCAGCACGGTCACGCAAAGGACAAACAAGACCTATTCGTAGCTCTATTTTAGCACACCTTATAGATAGTGAGCATAAGGTTGACGTTAACGCAGCCTTTAAAATTATTTATCGCATTCCCACTAACCCTAGTTTTGCTTTACAATTTCATCTTTTACATACAGCTGAAGCAACAGGGATCCACCTGAAGGAGCCAAACCTGTGTGTTCAGAAGAAATTTCCACAGCCACTTTCCTTACCTTGGCCATCGTTACATGAATGTATAGACCGGACTACTTCGCCAGCCTCCCCCTAAATCTTTAAAAATTATAATTGTCCAAATTATTTTATTGTTTTCCTGACTACTTCATCTTTAATTACATGTCATCGCTGTAAAATTATTTTATTCTTGTGACCACTTTATCCTTAGTTACAAGTTCTCATTGTCGAAATCGTTTTATTTTCTTTAACAACCTGTTACGTGATCAACCTGTGCACAGGCTTATCCCTTAATTACTCTCCATTTTACCCAAATTATGCATTACGCAATCCATGTGTTTCAATCATTTCTAACTTTTAATTGTGTGAATTAATTTTCTTCGCCAACTATCACCCCATTGACATGTTGACACTGACTAATCATAGTTAACAAACATATCGCCACTTGATCGGTAAATTGTTGTGTATTGTATTAAAATTCTATATATATTAGAGTAGAGCCAGAGATGAGGATCTAACTGAAAAGTAAATATTTCTTTTCGCAATCCTTCTGCTTTCTAAATGTCTAAATGGGGATTTCTTCTCTATTGAAATCCAATTATATTATTCAAAAGTTGCGATCCAAATTTTTATGCGTAATTATTGACTATCAACTCATCATGGCCGTCGTCAAGCTTTGACAAACCCACTGAACTTCCTTCTTTACAAGTCCCTAAAAACAACTATCAATAGTTTCAATCCGCTCAAGCTAATACGAATGCGTGTTTATGTGATCCAATACTCAAAACAACCAACTTCAGCTTTAGGTGTGTAAAGAAATTTGCGATCAGCATGCACTGTTTACTTTAAAGAGAACAATTAGCAACATAAACGTTACTCATTACCTACATCTTTTGCAAGTGACTAGTTATTTGATCTCTTTATTTCACTTTATTCTCTAACTATACCATAATTCTAAATGGAAATAAGTTCATGCTGATTATTTTTTTGACAAATTTAAGGTCGTTAAAACTCGGGTTAATACAGAAAAGTATAAATTAATGAGACCATTTGAAACGACGACAGGAGAATACATAGGTTAGAACCCACTAGGTTTCCTTTAAATCTCTTTCTCTGTTTATCTTGTTTCAAAACGGATTTTTGCAAAATGTACTGATAATAATACCATCAACACTGAATTGGACAGCGGTGCTGTGAGTCAATCTGTAACCTTATGAAGGCGGCTCTTGTAACTGCATAACTCACACTAACCCACCGCAACGATCATGCAAACAGAATGTGTAGGTCAGCTGCTAGAATTCCATAGGTACCCTACTAGATAGTCGAAGGTAAGGTCGCAAACTTCTTACATTAGTCATTCGTCTTTTCCTCACTGGTGACTTTTGCATCTCTTTCTTACCTTTGTTTTGGAATATGTATGACAAAAGTATGCTTAATAGACTCAAATCACTCGCAAGCCACTACTACGCTACTGTGAGTCACAAATTAGTCATACTCTGTCCTGATTAAAGCGGTGATTAGGAGTTACGCAAAAATTCCACAGGAGTAAGCTTGCCCTTCATGATAAGCATTGTACCACTATCTGGATATTGGTCCTTAAAACGTGTCTTATTACTTTAAGCTCCAGTCATTTAGAAAATTTTCCTAGAAAGACCAACACTGACACATGTCAGCTGATATTTTTTTATAAGCACTCTACCCAAAATGTCAATAAATATTGAAGTACGGCAGAAACAGAAGTAGAAAACTTTCAAAGGTAAAGCTATCACAAAGGAATAAACCCCACATCAAACAGTAACCTATTTCTGAAAGTAGTGCAGCTTTTGGCTGCAGCCTCTAAAACAAGGAGGCAGATTGCAGCACTGATGACTGGCTGTTCCAGTAATACAATTTTGCAATGACTCTGACATATGTGTCAAACACGCTGAACGGAACCAGCACCACTAAACACAGTCGCATGGCTTATCTGTCCATTGAAGAAACAGTGAATTAGTGGTGTAAGTCTTATTGCTACTTTGTTTTGTATTTATCTATAGATACCTACATTAATTTCATGGTGTACCTTTACAAGGTACCTTTCACGTCATTATCTTCCTCATCTTATGATTACTATGTAAGCTACTAATTCTGTCCCTTCATCCCTTGCTTCCTACTTACTTTCTAATTTGTCTCCTATTTATTTCATGGCTATTGATGAAAGCTGTTGTTAACTAACCCCTGAACATAAACTGACACCTAATCTATGTTTTACTTAACTGACCTGCATTAGGCGAGTGGAAACATTTGTCGTACCATAAACCATTCTTATGACCCTGAACCGTTCATCAAAATTAAGAAGCAACAAGCGGAAAAGTAATACTTCACCAAAAACGTCAAATCAATATTATGCAAGATATGTCACAAATAATTCAAAGGCTCTGATAATGACTATTATTCGCCAATTCTTCCTCAACATTTAAACGTAATATGGCGGCTGAAAATGAACTTTACACGAGTACAATAGAAGTATAATGCCCTCTGGTGCATTACAACCGAACACAATACACGCAACCATACAGACAAGATAAGATAGTGCTTATCGAAAGTGATTCTCATTTTTCATCACAAATCACATTAAAATGAGGAAAAGACAAAATGATACCCACTGGATTATAATACGACAAACCGAGACTTTCGAGTATAGGAATCACCACATCTTTCCTCCATGTTGTGGGATTACAGGCACCCCCTAGGAAGACTACAAACGTCAGAATAAATGAACCTACAGTCATACTGGTCCATTCCAAAGCCTGCTTGTCGGGAAGTTAGAAGATTACTATCCAATGTGCAGGCTGCATACAAAACGACATCCAAAAGACCGATTTGTGTTTTTGCATTACGAAAAATTCCTGATATCCCAATTATCTCTGTACAAACTATAAAAAAATAATACTCCAAAGCATACCTGGGTGGTTTGGCAGTGGTAAATTAAAAAAATGAAAGACTTCTGAAATGTCATTAGATAAACAACTTCTTGACAGCTGTAATAAATTTCCCAGCATCATAGTGAAAATCAGCATATGAGAGGTGTGGCGTTTCTCCACAGCGAAGCATAAGTCAGTCAACAAATGCCATAATGAAGAAGACCAACACCTGATTACCCAAGGTCATGCCGACTTCCGAATGAGTTTCAAGGTCACCAAACACCCAATAACTTCCGATGGGGTTGTAAAACACTATCGATTTTTTGACACTCTCTTCTTATCGTAGTAAATCTGTTCTACGTGTATAGACTATTCCCCTGACTAACGCGACTCTGCCGAACACAAAAGAGTTGGTAGGTAAAAGTATTTTGTCTAGAAAGTATGTTTTGCAATGCTGCAACAGATAAGTTTATTTGATGCAACAAACAACGTCAAAGTATTGACAACTGGACAAGATTTGGAGTACAATTTATTGCTCATGAAGGTATTAGGTGGGGTTTGAAGTGGGACAGTGGTGCTTGTGGGTATGGATATTTTTCGTCAAGAAATTTTATCAGCCATCAGTGAATTTCTTAGAAGGAAAACCGTGATGGAAAGGAAGTCAGGCCATACCATTGTAACTGCCCTGCGATGAGTGGCTCTGTCTGACCCGCCCTGAGGAGTATCGCACTGACCTCCTCCCAATAAATATCAGATTCTGTGACTTAGTTTGTTCACTCATAGTCCTGCCGTAATCGTTAGTGTACAGCTCCTGCTTTTCAAAGTCACCCATGACACCGTTGGCACTTTTGACTAGTGACAGTGAATTCCATAGCGTCACGCTTTAGGAATAACATCTCAGTAGAATTAATTGCTTCCAGTTATGGCCCTCTATACATTTCTCACAGATGCATGAAAAGTTACAGTAAAAATACGCTTATCTGCCTACTCACGTGGTAAAATTCTTTAGTGCCTTTATCTGCGCAGTCGGTGTCTTCACCCAGTTACGCGGTCGGTAGTTGCTCGAGGTAGGTATAGGAAAGGCTAGTTTCCCATGAATGGAAATAGATTCTTAGTCCTACCGCTAAACGAATGAACACTCACCCTTGTTGAAATAAGGTCTCTTCCTCACCCCGGTCAGGCCTCTCTTTAAATGAATCTGCTGTTCTTAATGTATTCATTCCCACTTTAACATCATCCGTTTACTGGAATGCTAAGAAACTCACGCAATTTGGTAGATTATTTATGAAAATCAAGAACAATAATGGACTGGCAGTTACTCCTATGACAATTCGGTGGATCCTGTTCTTCATATGGAGGTCGCTTGGCTCAACTACGGCAAAATACGGGTTCTTCAAATAGGCTATGATCTGAAAAAAACCAGCCTCCATTTCGGTCACCTCTCAAAATGGAAGCACAGAATGAAAAGCTTCAGCAAGATCCAGAAACAGAATATGGATCTCATCTTCTGGACCTAAAATGTTATGCAATTAGTTCAAGCCCCGTCAGAGTGGTATCGTGCTAACGATTTCTCCCGAAATCACGTTGAGCTTCGTGCAGATAATCCACCTTTTCAGATATTCCTTTGTGTGATTATCTATCAGGCTTAGGAGGCGAAGGTAAAGACCTGTAGCGTTTTGTATTTCATTGATCCCTTGTTTAAAGACAGGAGAAACGGTAGTCCGTTTCTAATTTCTCGGTGACAAATACCGATCGGTGAACTTTTAATCAGCTTAATTTGTTCGGACCCAGAGTTTCTGCAGATATAGACACTGGTGTGGTATTTTCTCATTCTAAAAATTTGGGGGCGGGCGCTTGATAATCTCACTGGAATCATATTTGGAGTCATTTGAACAACAGTAATTCCTATGATATTTCATTGAACTGTGAGTTGACGGGGAGTAATTTTACGGTTCTCATTCCTTTTTTTTCAACTGTCGTAAGAATGACTGTTGGAGGCTTCAGTTATCCCTAGATTGCACTGTTTCCCGACTGCGTTTTCTCACAACCCACTCACTGGTTGGTACTTATCCTCATGCCAGGAACCAACACATATACTTGGGGTTGAGCAACAATTTTCCGGATAAGTTTTACTGAAGTCATCCTGACAACACCGTCCACCGAAACTCAGCACTCATTTACCATCAGTGAGCAGTAAATTTTCTGCCGGAACGATGATAACATAATTTATCCCACCAAAGTACAGATCAATTGGACTACTCAGGCCTACGCCAGAGTTTGATCCTCAGTTAACTGGCTCTTAATAACTGGGCCTAACAACTGCGTGGTGTCTGTCGGCTAATGGTGTTCATGTTCGGATATTTTCTATAAGCAAGTGATCATCAATTGGAAGATGCGAACGAAGAATATTCTTTTCAATTATTTCCCCTCTTCACGTTCCTACAATTATAAAATATAATATTTGTTGTCGTTACAATAATAGCCAGTTATTTGGCGGATGCATCTTTTACGTAGAATAACAGATTAGTTATGAGGTGTCAAAATAAATAATAGCTTCTGTGTGACAAACGTGCTAGGCTGAAATCGACTACGAAATATTACGAAATGGGAGGGAATGGAGGTGATTAATCACAAAAGAATTGTGTAGTGTGGGGTAGGAAAATTGACAAGTCAGTCTGAACACGTTCAGACGCCTATTATGATGGTTATTATGATCATTATTCCTAGTTGTAACTTATACCGTTCATTCGAGCATTCTCTCAATACTACCGAAATTCTCATTTATACTATCCGAACTTATTATTAGTAATACTATCTCTTTTCTCAATATATGCCTCCAGCTTTTTAATTTCACACATTTGTTATTTCATTATGAAACTCTCATTGCAGTCTTACTATCTCCTGTTTAATACAGACCACTTTGTAATAGCCACTCACCTGACACCTTTTATAACCTGGAACTGACTTGTAAATATTCCTACCCCACACTCTACAAATCTGTTTTGACTAATCCCCACCATTGTCTCCTATTTTACAATATTTTGTAATCGATTCAGCCTAGCACGTTTGTCGTACAAACACGATAATTTATTTTGACACTCCATAACTAGTCTGTTATTGTGCGTCAAAATAAAGGTATCCGCCGCATAACTGCCCTTTACTGTAACGACAACAAATATTATATTTTACAAATGTAAGAACCTGAAGAGATATTATTGAGAAGAATATTCTTCGTTCAGATTGACTTTTAATTCATGAAATGGGAATATTTCTCACCCTGAAATCTTACTAGTGAAAGACGACTTCACTAAGATGAAGTGTCACACCTCTACCTGCATGAGTCATCCTCAGTTGTTTCGTAGAGATGAAGAATGATGATAAGGTTCAAATCGTGGGAAATACCAATCGCGACATCACAGAAAAATGAATGACAAGCTCAGCAAAGACACGCACCCGCCTTCGTAAGCATAAGCTGGCCTTAAGGTGAAAAAATGCAACTCGTAGAAGTTTGAAAGCAGGAAACTTTTATACGTGTCCAAAAGTATGGCTGGCATAAGTTCAATGAGAGGCATGCAACTGTAAAAAGTTACAACGACAGGGAAAGGACGACGTGTTGCGATTACACTTACTTAATTACATTCATTAAAAATAACATTAAAACTCCAGCTATTCACACTTAGAAAACGAATTTGCAGTCAGAAAAATTACTCAAATTAGCGAATGACGACCTGTAATTTTCTCACAAATTTGGACATCCAAATTTATACTGAAATCTGAAAGACGGAGAATGAAAGTGAGTGCATGTGTGTATTTTGCCAGATGGCAATTGGAGAAAATAAACCTAATAGGCCCACGACAAAAGAAATTCTTAAATATGTGTGTAAACGGAGATATTTTTTAAAATCCCAAACCATGCACACAATATATTTTATCCTACTCATTGTGTTTAATTGTCGCTTTCGTATCTTGTTGTTATTGCATAATTCTGTTAAATGTTTTGTCATGCTTACTTATGAAGTTGTTTCTAGTCTTCTAAGTCCGTGAATGCAGTGATTGATGTTAAAGACAGTAGATGGGTCGTATACGCCAGGGATGCTAGGCTATTGCTGAGAATGACATGCACACGGAGATAATGGTTAGGTGTGGTCCCACACGCCGGGAAGCGGGAGTGTAGACGACTGAGGCTCGCATACGTCACAGTTACTAGAATTGAGGCAGAATGAGTGACAAGCGATCGCAGTGGTAATTGGTAGTGAATAGATAAGCGGATGTGCGAGGGGTATCATGAGGTGCTTCTATGGTCACGTTGCATTCTGCAAGAGTCATTCTAGCAAGTGGCGATTGTGTTGCAAGAGGATGTGTCAAGAGGACACCTTTAACTGGAAGGCGTAGGTCGTCATCGATGAGTGAGATTTTGCTGTGGGTATGCCTGTGGTGTGTTGGCTTTTCTGTTTGTTTTCCATTTCAGCTTTGTCCGTAAGACCCAGGTTCTCGCAATGGCATCCAAGTCAACGTGTATTGGTCGTGATGGAAAGAAGGGATGGATCCGTTTTTTGCCGGCGATTGTCGATGCAGTTTAAGATTGAACGATCAATTCATGGTTGTTTGCTCGAAGACAACTCCTCCATATTTTTTGCGGGAGTCATCAATCTAGCAGTCATCGCCTCATCGGTCGCTGGATGGAAAACTATCACAAGTATTATCGTGACTTATTGTTTGCTATAACATTTATTCTTAGACCTTGTGTATAATAACCTTATTGTTGGTTACGTATTGGTGCAAGAATAAAGGATTCTCGAGTCACCAATCTGTGTTCTGGTTTTTCGGCGTCGGTTAAAATAAAGTGTTGTCAGCCACCTCTCATAAACCGTTAATGCCCAGCTATTGCTACGCTCGGGCCCACGCTGTTCCTTGCAGGTTTTCAGAAACGCTTAGTTATAACGGACGCAAAAACCAAAACACCGATTGGCCGCTCGAGAATTCTTTATTGTAACACCAACATATAAAAAATCTTCCACTAAGGTCTGTGAACAAATTTTACAATAATAAATCACAATATTACTCCTGACGGTTTATTGCTGACTTCTGTCTGAACAGCGACCGATGAGACGATGACTGTCGTATTGATGCCTCCGCGAAAATTGGGGAAGTTGATTTTGAGCAAACAACCAAGAATTGATCGTTCAATCTTAAACTGCATCGACAATCGCCGGCAAAAAACGGATCCATCCCTTCTTTCCATCACGACCATGACAAAACATTTAACAGAATTATGCAATAACAACAAGGTACGAAACAATGAGTAAACACGATTAATCCAAAATTACAAATTGACAAGACACACCACTCCTATACACAAACAGTAAAATAACCTCGTGGTTCATGTCTT